TTTCTTTTTGTGGTCATTTTTCACTGGCGGGGGTAGTGTAGGTGCCATGGATTTTCACGATGATTTCTTTGGGGGCAGTTCTGCCACTCCTGCCAGTGGCATGCCTATCAACCTTGACGATGACCCACCGGGTGAGGAGACGAATGGATCATTAGGAGTTTTGCCAGGTGTCTCAGATGTCTACCTTGAGGCGGAGCAGCCTGCAGACCTGTTCAGCTGTGACGACAGCCATTCAGCAGCGGCTGGTGGAGAAGCTGATGATGAGGCACCTGGCGATGATCTCAGAGGATATAGAAAGAGATGGGCATGCAAGAGGAAGATGACCGCAGAAACAGAGTACAGTCCTTCCGTGATCCCAGACGTATTTCCTCCCGACCCTCCAAGGGCGGGGCTAGCCAAAGTCAGTTCCAGCAGTGATGATGCAGCAGCTCTTGTGAATTCATTCATAGATCGCATGTCTCCTTCGAAGATTGTTATGCCCTGGGAAAATGATTTCATGGCGCCAATTTGTGGCAGTGAATTTGCAAGTGCAAAGCTGTCCATGCCTGCCCAGTGGAGTGACACATTTGCAGATCCTTTGAAGCATGCGATGCCTGAGGTTGTTCCACAGGCCGTACGACCCGTTGAGTTCAGCATCATGAAGTGCGTCGGGAACCTAGCAGACATGGACTTCATACAATCACGAGAAAAACAGATGAAGCAGGCCCTGCTGAAGTTGAAGTGTGTGCTGGAGATTGGCTGGGAGTTCAGTGGAGTTGGACGACTGTGCATTGATGGCGCACGGACACCACGCGCTGACATGGAAGAGACGTTGGTATCCATTGTGGGAACATCCACAGTCATCAAGCGATGCAATGCTGTGCTGGCCTACCAGCGGTGGTTGATAACCTGGGTGGACATGGTGGCTTTTCCCTTCTCAGAGCAGATGGTGTGGGACTATTTAGTCCACTTGCGCAACTGTGGGGCCGCAGCCACAAAGGCCTTGTCATTCATTCAGACACTCAGGTTCTGTCAGTATGTACTGCAGGTTGATGGAGCTGAAACATGCGTGGCCAGCAGACGTCTTGTGGGGCAGTCTGAAATTCAGGCATCTCTGAAGGGCCCCACAAAGCAGGCCCGGCCGCTGACGGTAGCTGAAGCGCGTAAGCTGCAGAAGTTCATGGCCGATCCAATGAATGACTTGAAGGAGAGACTGATCTGCAGCCATCTAGTGTTGATGGTTTACACAAGGAGCCGCAACAGTGACCTGGCTCATGTACACGACATTTCTCATGACAGCACTCTCAAGGATGGCCATGACGAATTCAGCGGTTTCATACAGTTTACAACCAGGTATCACAAGTCAGCACGGTCAGTGGAGACCAAGTCATTGCTGATGCCCATCATCGCATGTGGAGAATCCGTTGGACCTGAGCCGTGGCTGGATGTGTGGATGGCCCTCCGGAAGAAGGCTGGGTTGGCCACTTCTGGTCAGTTGGAGGGTGCAGTGATGCCTGCGCCCGATGTTAGGTCTGCTGGAAAGTGGTCGATACGACCCATCTCCTGCGCAGAAACCACAAAGCTGCTGCGCGCCTTCCTGCAGTGTGACGACCCGGACTTGAAGTCCCATTCATTGAAACGGACGGCTTTGAGTTGGGCAGCAAAAGCTGGCCTGGACAGGGAGCACCGACGCTTGTTGGGGCGGCACGCAAGTGCAGTGCAGGGGTCGGACAGTGTCTATGCCACTGACCTCATGGTGGACCCTGTCAGAGCCCTTGGTGCTGTGGTCAGGGAGGATCGCTTCAAGCCCGATGGAGACAGAGCAGGCTTTTTCCCGGAGGGAAACCCGGCCAAGCCGGACGCGCCGGTCTTCCAGCCGAAGACACCAGGGAATTTCAAGATGCCAATGACACCGGGTATGGTGCCGAACGGTGCAGTTGAGCAGGAGCCGCCCGACCAGGAGGTCAAGGAAGAAGCTACAGCACCTGAAGGTGCCTGCATGCTGACGGAAGAGATTGACCTGGTCACCACAGAGTCTGAGACCTCCACGAGTGGAGAGGATTTCGCAACCTCCGAGCCTGAAGCTGAGGGTGAGCTGGAACCTTCAGATGTCAACTTCCTCAATGAGGATGCCGACGACGCATGGGTGCAGCACAAGAAGACAAAGGTTATCCACGCCATAGCAGGTGCAGGCAGCCTTGTGTCAGGGTCCGTCTATGCCAACGGCGAGCTGGTCCAGAACAGAGCGACCAAATGTGGACGCCTGGCAAGTGCCAACTTCGTTGTGGTCACGACCATTGAGGATTGGACCTCGAAGTGCAGGCTCTGCTTCAAGGGCAAACGAGACCCCTGGGCTAAGCTCCGATGACCGAGCGTAGCAGCATAAAAAGTTCTTGTCATGCACCGCGATTGACAAGTGTCAGATCACCTCATCACTGCTTCAGCCATTCACACATGTTTGTCAACTTGAGTTAGTGATGATGTCCGACATGTGTTGGCATAGCCCATGTGGGCCACCCACCTATGTTGGTGGTGGTAGCACCTATGTTGGTGCGGTCAAGTCCATGTGGAATGACCTAGCTATGCATGTGCATAGCAGCTGGTATGTTCCAGCAGTGTCACGTGACACGTTTGAAGGCCATGTGGTCATCAGCCGTGTGATGCGGTGCAGCCGTTTGTGGCCCTCACGTTCAGCATGTGCTTGAACATGCAGTGCGCTGAATGCATCTTTGAATTTTCATGTCTTTGCAAGTTGTGTTCTTTTCTCAACTGATTGCAACGGTATGTTCTGTTGAACTGACTGCATCCTCCATCTTTACAACTGTCAGTGCGTCATGTCTTGTGCTGAATTCCTGACAAGGTGAAAACGCATGTTCAGTTTGCTTTGCATTTGTTTGAACACTTCGTTTGCCAGCAACTTGCAGCCATGACCTCTATAGTGGAGTCTGAAGCTCATTTTCGGAAAAGGTGCCAAGAGACAGGTCTGTCTGACCGTGGGCTAGCCGCTGTGATTGCAGCAGGATACACAAATCTTGGCCAGTTGGCATTTGCAAGCGGCCAGCCAGGGCAACCTCTCAACGAGGCCGAGTTCCAAAGGTTTGCCCAGAATGTCTTGGGCGGGCTGGCCACGTTGGCTGACGCCAGCACGCTGAAGCGGTTGGTCTTCGAGGGACAAACAGTCCTGTTAGCCCAGTTGCGAGATCAGGTAGTAAACCCTGATGCTGCCACTACCAGGCGATTGCCTGCAATTGAGCGCAGTACAAAGATGCAGAACTTGAAAGCGCGCCTAATGGGCGTAGTCATAGAGAAGGCGCTGGAGCCAAGCCACGCGCTATTGGATGCAGTGGCACAGCAATGGGAGGCCAAGCAACTGGCCTACCTATCTCCAGAGAAGTGCACCTCTCGGGAGTGGGAGATCACTATGTCAAAGACTTCAAAGCAGTTGTCAATTGACTCCGACAAACTGCTTGTCAAAAGCGAGCAGTCAGTGCCAGACCAGCAGGTGTCTACAGAGATGCAGGTCTACGAAGCTCTGAGACGTCGTGGCATAGCGCTGGCCTTTACTGACTCGCTGACTTGGGAGGTGCATGAGAGATACCTGCAACGTTTGTTCCAACACATGAGGAATGACGCCCCTGAAGGTTGCAACAGGTCCTCCGTGCTGACAGAGATGTTTTTCTGCATATGGTGCAAAGGGATGTGTCGTTGCGGAGGGCCCCTGACAACACCTTGCCTATGGATACCGCTATCCTGGAAGCAGTGTCCTCATACGAGGTTGGTTTCAGCTTGATGCCCCTGCCGAAGAAGATCGAGAGGCCTGAGCCCAAGGCTTCAACAGCAGCACCATCATATGGAAATTGGCCGCAGGGCCGCAGGAACACTCAGCAGCCCTACACCAAGGGCCAAGGCAAATTTGGAAAGGGTAAAGGCAAGACAAAGAAGGCAGCCGGGATGGTCCCCAAGGAGTTGCAAGGCAGGGACAATGTGTCCCCTTGACTCTCATGGCCGCCGGCTATGTTTCGAGTTCAACTTGGGCAGATGCTCCAGAGTCCCAAATGGTGGAGAATGTGAAAGAGGATTCCACCTGTGCATGCGACGTGGATGCCATGCGCCTCACCCGCCCGAAAGAAAAGGGATCTGGAAAGCCCGCTTGACTATACAAGCCCATCCAAGATGCTGCAGCTGCCGGGGCCTCGCTGGCTGATTGTCTGGTCATTGAGATCTTTGCAGGGAGCTGCAGGGTAACAGCAAGCCTACGCCAATTGGGTTTGGGCAGCAATTTTGGTGTCGACCACCAAAGAGGTAAAAGTATCTCAGGGCCTGTGGCCGTTGCAGATTTGTGCACGCCTGAAGGCGTTGCGCTACTTTGGTCGTGGCTGCAGAATGAACGAGTTCTAGCAGTCTTTTTGGCTCCGCCATGTGGATCAGCCTCGAGAGCGAGACAGATACCGCTGAAGCGAAAACGTTTTGGTCATCCTGAAAGGGGGCGTCATGGACCGCGACCTTTGCGGGATGATGAACACCCCAATGGATTTCCTAATCTTTCTGATTCAGACAATCGTAGGGTCTCATTGGCAAATCAACTTTATTTTCTCACTGCACAGATTGTGGAATGGGCCGTTGAAAACGGAGTCATTGTGTGTGTGGAAAATCCGCAGTTCAGTTTCTTTTGGACCACAACCTTTTGGCAGCAAGTTGCACATCTTTTACAATACTCTGTTTTCCATTCATGTCAGTACGGAAGTGCGCGACAAAAGAAGACTATGTTGGCTTTCAATGTCAATGAATTTCATGCGATAAACGCCACCTGCAGAGGGCAAAACAGCAAACATAAGCATGCGCAATGGGGTTTTAACCGCAAGACAAAGTCTTTTGCGACAGCTGAAGAAACTGCATACCCTATGGGGTTAGCCAAGATGATTGCAATGGTCATTGTGCGTAGTTTGCTAAACTTGGGCATCAGAGGTAATCCGGAAACTTTGGAAGCTGTGCAGCCTGTGGCACTCCAGGCATTGCAGAAGATGCGGGCTGCAACCGGTACACAATCAAGATCCAGCCGGATCCCTGCGTTGGTGCCAACTTACAAGTTGCGGTTTCGCATTGGTGGTGCTTCGAATTCTCTTCCTGATGTCAATATTTTTCAAGATTACGCAATGATGTTACAATATCCTCCTCACCAGTGCAGATCCTCCCAAAAGGATCCAAACTCCTGTCCATTGCTCCGGTTGACAACCTGGTTACGGGGGATGAGATGCTTGCCCAACCGGAGGTCTTCAAAGTGGACACCCCTACACTGGATTCTTCATGCGTGATTCAGACTTGGGGGGTGCCATGGGAACCTGAGAAATTTGTGGAGGAAGTGGTCAAAGCTGGCCATCCGATGGACATGGCAACATTTCTCCCACCACGTTTGCAATCCCTGCTGAAAATCTATGAGACCGAGAATAGTTGCAACAGAGTGGACAGCCGGATCAAAGCAGTGAAGTTCTGGCTGAAGAGAGCGATGGAGCTCAAGTGCGATGAAACTGATTTTCACAGCAAACTGGATCCGGCAGTTGCTGGTGTCTTGCGTGGCAAGCGCATTCTCTTGTGGCAGCAGATGCTTGAATCAATTGGATATGAGGACATGGAGGTTGTGAACGAGTTTGTAAGCGGGACAAAGTTGGTGGGTGAAGCTCAGTCCACTGGTTTATGGCCGAAGAAATTCAAACCGGCCTCGCTTACAGAAAGTGATTTGGCCACCATTTCCACTTCACAGCGATCAGTATTGACCTACAAATCTTTTGAATTTATGGATGACGAAACATTGAATGCCGTTTGGAATCAGACTTTGGATGAGGTGGAAGCTGGAGAACTTTCTGGCCCGTATGATGTTGAGCAAGTACCTCAGGAATACCCATTGAGCAAGCGGTTCGGCATCAAGCAGTCGTCCAAAGTGAGATGCGTGGATGACTTCACTCAATCATCCATCAACGCTTGCTCTCAGACCTGCGAGTCGCCGAAGCCACATACAGTTGACATCCTATGTAGCATGTGCCTGGCTTTGATGAAGGTATCAAGTGAAAACTCCACTTGGGAGGCCAGGAGTTTCGATCTGAAACGAGCGTACAGGCAGTGCGCCATCCACCCAGCGCACTCCAGGTACAGCTACATTGCGGTGGCTAATCCTCAAGAGAAGCGAATCAGGTGCTTCAGAATGAAGGCACTCCCATTCGGCAGTGTCATGTCAGTACACTCTTTCTTGAGGATATCCCACAGTCTGTGGGCGATTCTGGTATCAATTTTTCGAGTTTTCATTTCAAATTGTTTCGACTACTTTGTTGGTCTAGCCACTTCATGTGAAACAACATCGGTCACCACAGCTGTGACACTGACGTTCAAGATGCTGGGGTGGATCTTCGCCGAGACCGGAGACAAAGCACCACCGTTTGCCAGCGTTGTTGCAGCCCTTGGTGTGAAGATTGATGTATCCCTCCTTCATGATGGGTGTGTCCGAATTGACAACACCGAAAATCGGAAATCTGAAATTGCGGCTGCCATAGCCCAGATTCTTGATTCAGGTACCCTGATCAGGCCTGATGCTTTGCGGCTGAGGGGGAGACTACAGTTTGTGGCTGGTCAGATTTTTGGCCGCATTGCCAAGCGCTCATTGGCACTCATCACGAAGCACGCCTACGGAGAGTGTGGCCCAACGATTTCTGAAGAGACACGCCATGCGTTGAAACTTTTTCATCAGCTGATCATGATGGACGTGCCAAGGAAGGTATCTTTGACAACTGGGAGCACCTGGTACGTCTTCACTGATGCATGTTATGAACCGCAGGATTCACAAGGAACAGCTGGAATTGGTGCAGTATTGGTGGATCAACTCGGCAGATACAGAGGTTTCTTTTCGGTTTTTCTTACGGAGGATTTGCTGGCCAAGCTCAACATCACCAAACGAAAGACCATCATTTTCGAATGTGAATTGCTTGCTATCTTTGTTGCAATGACATGCTGGTCCAAGTGCTTGCAGGACTCACAGGTGGTGGTGTGCACAGACAATGAAGGTGTGAAGGACTCGTTGATAGCTTGTCAGACCTCGAGCCACAATGCTACCCCAATTTTGGTAGCGCTCCTCCAGCTTGAATTTGATTTGAGATGGAATGCTTGGTTTAGCAGAGTGCCCTCAGAATCCAACATAACTGATGACCCGTCGCGAGGAGACACAAAGCGGCTTCTTGAGAAAGGTGTGCAACAATTTCCAATTGACCTTGACAACATGTGGAATGGCCTGCTGGAATTAGCTACGAGGGGTGGCTTCGACCAGCACTCCATGCCCCATGCTGTCAAAAAGGTGTGACTGCAGTTTGAGGACAGTTACAGTGAGCTTAATGAAGCTATCTGAAAGAATGCGAGCTAAGCGAGTGAAACTGCAGTGAACGTTGTGAGCGTCCGAGAAACTGGTTCAAGTGATTTAGATTTGTCAATGCATGTGCAACATGACATTCAATGCAACATGTGAAACATGTTTCTTTTTGTGGTCATTTTTCACTGGCCCACCCACTGTGCCACCCATGCCAGTGAAATTTGGGCCGAACCCCAAGCCTGGCTTCGACCAGCACTCCACGCCCCATGCTGTCAAAAAGGTGTGACTGCAGTTTGAGGACAGTTACAGTGAGCTTAAAAATGCTTACGTCTTACGTAGCGTAACGATAGTGAAACTGCATTTTTTCAATCATTGTCGGATAAAATTTGGTTTTTTAGGTGCCAGTGTTGACTATGACTGCAAGGCATTCAGGCGCAGTGCTTTAAACAACATGTTTGCAACACAAAATTTTCAGCCCTACGTTGTTTTGGTTTGAATATGAAATGAATTTTATCCGCACCATCCTTGCATTTTTCCTGTGCTACACAATGCGACCTACACTTCGCATCAATTGTGGGCAATTGCTTTTCAAAACAATGGAAAGCGAATGCCACCCTCGAACCTATTCCAAGGTTGAGTTGCTGGTTTTGGTTTGCCATGGATTCCTGTTACAAAATGTGGTTTTTGAGGCTCAAAAATGCGACCCAGTTATTGAAACAACACTATCAAAATGCATTTTGCATTCCCATTGTGTATGTACATACGTATATATATATATGTTCATATACATATTATATATATATATATATGTACATATACATATACATATACATATACATATACATATACATATACATATACATATATGTATGTATATATATATACATACATATGCATACAGTAAATACGCATGTAGATGTGTGTACGCGTACGTGCACAAACATCTGTGTATATGTACATTTTCAATTTATTCTTATATTTATATGTGTATTTAGATTCATTTATTTTTGTATATATGTATATCAATACATTTGTGTAACTGTGTTTGAAAACATGTCATTTTTATATATACATATATATATGGATACATGCCATGGATGCATATATACATATATATATACACATACATACATATATTAATACAGTACATATTATACATTTGGGACATCACGGGATACGCACGATGTTACTTCTGACTGTAGATGTCAAGCTATCACCATCAAACGTCGCATTGAACCACAAAAACATACTCACACACACATACACACATACACACACACACACACCCTTCTTCATTTGTATTTTGGATCAGCGTGTGAAACCAGGCAGTGTTGCTCGCAAAACAAATTCATTTAAACACATAGCACGACACGTTACACTTGCATACTTCGATGGGTTTAGGTTTCGGTGAATGTCGCTGCTTTTCAACCCCCGTGCTGTAGCCTACACTGGAAATGTGCCGTTTGCGAGAATACTACGCCGAAGGCTTCACAAGGGTCATGCACCTCGGCATTGTCTTTTGCTGTGTTTGGCCGACAGTTACAATGGAAAAACTGCGCTGGGATGAACCACCTGGAAAAACGAATTTTGGTGCATCACAACTGTCACAACACTGATGATAATGATGGAGTGGTTGTAAAAATGATGATATCTAGATAGTTGAAATATATAGATACGATGCATGGATTGAAGGATGCCTCGATAGATGGATGGATTGATGGATGGATGGATGGATGGATAGATAGATGGATGCATCTGCAGAAAAAAACACCGATGAAAAGTAAAAAGTAGATATATTGAAATATGCAAAAACATAAATATATTGAGGCATTGAAGTATTGAGGTTTTTATATATAAAATGTTGAAAAAAAAACATAAAATAAACGCACATGCAATCTAAAGTCCAAAGTCTAGAAAGTCCGGTACCTAGAGTCTAGAGATAAGGATGGATAGCTGGATAGCGATCACATAGGGACATATAGGTACAGATATAGACTGTCAAGTAAGAAATTGACATAGACATGGCAACACACACAAGGATGTAGGTAGTATGTAGAAGATAGATCAAGTAGATGAAATACATCAGATTAAATACACTAAGATCGATGCGATGGATGCGACAAGGAAGGTACAACAGACAGGATATGTACGATGTATTGAAGTATGTTGTATAGACACGCAGACACACAGATAGACTGACAGATAGACAGAGTGACAGACAGACTGACGGATGGACAGACAGATAGTGCAGGTCGGTGGGTAGGTAGGTGGGTAGGTAGATACTTTAGACAGATAGGTAGGCAGATCACCAGAGATATAGTGTTCCGAGGAGGCGGATGACCAGGTTGTGACGAGTCAATTGATACCCCTCTATGGCACTTGGCGCTGGAAGGGTTGAAGCCACGTGTTTATAAATTCTTCCATTCTACATCATTCTACTTGCTATAGAGTTTTTAGGCCTTTCCCAAGCACAAAGTGCACATCCAGGTAGGAGCGACGTTGGAGAAGCTGAATTTGCCCCGGCACCATTGGTTGAAGGAGGTAGAGCAAGCTCCTGAGAAGTCAACAGTGCGCAGGACATGGCAAGAATTGCTTGGAAATAAAGAAAAAACCGGACATTTGTCTGGGTCGGTCACCACCTGATGGCTTAAGGCTTTAGCCTATTGTTCTTCAGCAACCTCCGTTTTCAAGTCCTGGCAGAACTGGACTTTCACATGATAATACTTGCTTGATTCAACAAGAGACATGCAGGATGAAGGACCGCTACTTTCGAGAACTAGGGAAGGTCCATGGCGAGTTGCAGAGCCTCTTTGGTTTCTTTTCAAAACATGAGACACTGCATGGGACCTGGGATTGCAGGGTTCTGCTTCCGAAGTTTTTTTTTATTGCACTTCAAAACGTTTTTTTGTTTTGTGTGCTTGAAGTTTGAAGATTCCTGGCTGAGGAGAGGAAGAAAGGAGCGCCATCAAAGAGCGGACCCAAGAAGAACGAGAGAAGTTGGCTACAGCGCAGGAGCAGCGGGAGCTTAACAATGAGGTGCACCTTCTTGGCTTTGTAGAGACATGAAGAGACCTTTTGGAGAAATCACTTCTTTTGTAGAATCGGGAGGTAGAGAGAGAGAGAGAGAGAGATTGAGAGAGACAGATAGCGTAAGAGGGAGCAAGATGGCATTGTTTTGGTGCCAATTCAACGCTGTCTTTTCTGCTTGCACTCTCAGACCAGTCAGGCTTTGCGAGCGTATCGGATGCTACGTCCAGAGGCCGCACCTTTCTACGAGGAAGATGCTATGCTTGGAATGAAGGCTGGCGAAGCGTTTTGAAAGCATCTGCAGACGGATTTCAAGTGCTTACAATCCTGTGTGGAGGCCAAGATGAACAAAATTACTTCGGACGAGAAGGGTGAGGCCGCGATATTTCTGATAGCAAACAATTGTTTGTGTGCACGTGAAACAGATTATATAATGCATACAGGAAGGGTCGGAAAAACCGATTTACTCTCCATCATGGATCGCTTCGGCACATTTCCCATGCCAGGTCGAGCCACATCCATTCTTGTTAGACCCATTCAAAGCCTACTTGCCAGTGGTCAACCAAAAGGCCGTCGGCGACTAGATACATTCCACCCGCAGTGCGATTGTGTCGGCATGAGTCCCGGCATGAGAAACCATGGACTTCGGTGGTTCAAAATCAGACAAAACGGACATGTCGGTGACAGTAATTTGTCAAATGGAGACATGTATCAACTCTACCCACACTGCAGTCGGAACAACTGAACACTTTGAGACTCTGTACAGGCCTTTCTCCTAGCTCTCGAGGCAATCACAGCCTCTCTCGCGGAGGTATCGTTTTGAACAAAACAACCACTTGATGAGTCTGGCTCGACTGGGCCGCCCTCGGACTGCTGATTGCTTCTCTGTTTTATTCTTGCAGGACCTTGAAGTTCTTTGCCGACTTTTAGAGATTGAAGATCCACCTAAAGAGGATGATCCATTGCGTTACTTGGATCCGCGTGCAGCACTTCCTGAACTCTTTATGCATTTCACTTATTTTCATTTGACAATCTTGACATTGTATTTGCTGAGCAGCTTTAAGTCCTGATCAAGTGCCTTCAATCGAATCTTGCTCAGGTTTCTACAGACTCGTGGAGAAGCTTTTCGATCATTTCAGATTGAAGAAGGATCCTGCGAAGGCATTGGACTTCGTGATGTCTCTGCCACTACGACAACCAAGTGCTACGAAATGATTCCCATGTGCTACGAAATGATACCATGATTTTCTCAGGGATACCAAGTGATACCAAATGTATAGATAATTATTTATTCATAGACATGCGTATAGATGTACGCATCTTCGCATGTATACATACAGTATACACATATACACATATACACATATAGACATATAGACATATACACATACAAAAATACAAATGTACATATGCATGTGCATGAATATACATATACAGTATACAAATACACATACATATATATGTACATGTACATGTACATGTACATGTACATATTCATATATATATATATATACACATGGTCCCGTGTCTCGTGTTCACGGCCCACCCCCCTTCCCATCTGGTATGGGGGGTTACCCCACCCCCAACCTGTTTTTGTTCTGGCTTGGATCCTAAGTGGACATAGCATGAGTACTGAGCACATTTACATACGCTGTCAAGGCTCAAGAGAGACATAGAGTAACCCTGTAGACACCACACCGGCTGGCTATTGGCCGAGTATAAAAGGTGTGAAGCTGTCTTAGGGAAGACGCTCTAGCTGATCTAATCTAGGCGCTAGTGCCCCTCTTCACAACCCCCCTCACCCCTCCCATGTTTCACCCCACCCCCCACCACATCCACAGGGGGGAGGGACACATAAACAATATGAACATACACATACGCATACCATATACAAATACATCACACATATACATATACATCAAACATATGCCGCGACATGCGCCTACATAAATATATATACACATACTCACACACACACATATATACATAGACACATTCATACACATGTACGTAGACACATACAGATACTGTACATGTTACATATACATAGACACATACAGCATACAGACACACACACACATGTAAATAACATAACATACCATAACGTAACAAATCATCACATGACACAACATAAAATAACATGCCATGCCATACCGTACATACGTCATAATTTGAATGACACAACACGTTGGAAACCACGTTACAAAATTGACGTCCATTGTGGTGCAAAAATGCTGCCTCTTTGGCATGGTCAGGCAGAACAGTGGGTTGAAGATCACTGGTCTGTGCTGGAGAAGTTGCTTCCCACAGAGGTTGCCGACTTTGGGAAGAAAGAACTGAGGCAGGGACAGGTGTTTCTTGAAGGGATTGAAATCTGCTTGCACTGAAACGTGTACAAGATCTGCTACAATTGTTTTGCTGATCTTGCTACAATTTTGCCCTGCTGCAGCAAGAAGATCAGGCAATGGCTTCAGGGTCATTTGGAGCAACTCAACATGCACCTCAAGTCTCTGGATGTCTTCAAGATTTTTATTCCGAATCAGTTCCCATGATTTTTATTTTTGCTGTGCTTTTGGAGTCTTCAGACCGAAAGATTGCAAATCCGAGGCGAGTGCTACTCAACCAACAGAGATATGAGGAAGCTGATCAGAAGACCTTTGGCAAATACATAGCATAGATGAAGACGATCGAGTCAAGAGAAGACCACTTTTCAGATGTTTTGAACCAAAACTGCTGTTCCTGCTATGCTTGAGGATCTTTCTGCACAAAGAAAGAAGCAAGGCTGTTTGGTACAGCTTTGCGGAGGACTTGGGAAGTGTTTGAAGGTGCCCACGCAATGACCAAAAACTTCTGAACTGAGAAGCAAACAACTGCCACACGGAGTATGAAGGTTCAACAGTTCTTATTGTCCGCAGGATTTTCCATACGACGATGATCCAATGCCTGGTTTGCTAGCTGATGAGCGCAACCTGGACTTCCCCCTTGAAAAGGCCTGCAAGCTGCAAAGCTCTGTAAAGGTGAATCTCGGCGCACAAATGCAATGAGATGTTCTTGTGATGCTGCACCTTGGTCTCAGGCTGAGCATTTCATGAAGCTTTTCCTTGGTATGGTTTCCAAGAGCAAGTACGCAGAAACAGTGGCACCTGGTGTCTTCGCCGAAGAGGCAGGTCCCTTTGTACGGCAAGAAGAATTCATTTCCAACATGTTGAGAAAGCAATTTGTTTGTTATTTGTTTCTATTGTATCTCTTGTTTTTGTTGTTTAATTACAATAGATGCGCCGCTGTCTTTCACCCTGTATTCTTGTGCATTTGGACGCTGTCCACTCGAAGTCAGTTGCAGGACATAGAGAGAGTTGGAGACCAGTTCCAGGAGACTTTACTGGAACAAGATCCTTCTCAAAGCGACTGCCAATATTAAATATATTTAAATATTATGCTTCACGCAAACGCATCCAACGGTTTTGGAGCGGTTAGGCAGGGATTTCACCAACCGCATGGCCGGCAAGGACTTGGTTTGGGCCCTCGAAGAGATTGGCCTGCGAAACCCGGCTAGAGACCATTAGGGTTTGCCAAACCATGCCATGCTTTTCATCGCGTGACTGTAAGTTGGTTTGTCTTTGGGCTGGTAGTCTCATCAAAAGTAGTCATAGAATCAAACATTGAGAGGTCACACCTCGCTGATTTGAATTCTGTGATCCCCGCCTGCTAGACATCTCAGCACCGAGGCAACTGGTTAAAGATGGACCTAGATGAGTTGGAGCGGAATTTGCCAAAAGATAAACTGGCAGCCTTGGTTCGGGGTAAGAGCTCGAAACTTGATATGCAGCTGCATCTCAATCATTTTCAACATTGGAGACTTTTAATGTATAATATACTATTATAGCGACATCAAGATGTAGTTGGAAGAAGTTAATTTGTGAAAGAGTGTGAAAAGGATGAGGAGGGAAGAAAAAAAAAGAGTGGAAGAGACTGGAAGGGATGAAGTTCGGGAGAAACTGGCTTGTCGAGAAGGGGCAGGGATATGGCACACGTTGGGGATTAGCCTCCATGCACCAAGGAATTCAGACGAGATCAGCCTGGAAGATGAGGATGTGGGCTGGCCGCAGTGCGCTGTTAGATGGAGCCTGATGTATATAATGCTAATGAAATCCAATCATAGGTCATAGGTTGCCTCCCAGACTGTTCCTTTCTGAAATCCCAGCCATATTTCCCACCGCCCTCAGCCCTCATGCCACCAAGGTTGATGCTGCTAAGCTGATGCTGCAGTGTGCGTCTCGAGGGAAAGCTGACCTCCTGGACTTCGAGGTGTCTTGGATTTCTGCCAAGCTCGCCAATGTCAACCCCTGACTACAAACCCCTGGGTGATTTATTAAGGAACTACCTCCAAAAGGATCAAACAGTGACAATCTGCTCTGAAAATTGTACCCCCAAACTAAACCAAGCAGAGGTTTACTTATCCACAGTTGACATTGCCGTTCGTCCATGGTTTTCGAGTTTTCCGCATTTTGAACATGGCTGTTCAGTTCGTTGAATCATGGCTGTCATTCCCAGCTCTATCCAACGTGTCCTGTTTCCAACAGCAGTGACTGGTGGGTGTCAGTGTCTGCGTCTGGGAGTGAGCCCAAAGCCGGGAGCGGAACCAGAACGCTTGAACCCTGGAACCTGCTGTTGGGTTGCCAAGCTGGACTAATTTTGTGAAGACTCTCTCGTTGAACTCGACAGGACGTGGACCCTTACAAGCTGCTGCATGGAATTCCGAGACGGAAGATAGATGAGGAGCTCGAAGGTCTCCCTGCATATCTCGGAGTCTTGGGCAGCATATGAAGCTGAGACTTTTCTGAACTCTTTGGATTGCATTGGGAAATTTTGCAAAATGAAGGAAGTAAGAGAGCAGTGGAAAAGAAAGGAAAGTTTTCTGAATGACAGAGTAAAGGTGTTCGTATACAGTGATCGAAGCTTACAAGACAGCAGCGGAACCATTCACATCGAGAAGCCCCAAATTTGACGCTTTCCATCACAGGTGATGACGACTTAAATAAGCTGGTTACAGACCATTGTGAAAGACTGACAAACGGCAGGCACAGTGGGCACTTGGGTCCGGTCGAGGTTGCTAATCTCCACCAAATCGAGGTTTCATAGCAAGGCTGCAAGAGATATGGCAGGTTGCAGCCAAGGCCGGTAGATTGTTTTTCTTAATTTGGAGAAAAGGTGATTCAGCTGATTGCAAAGTCTAGGCAACTAGTTTGCTTTGTGGTTGATATAGGAGGGTTCCGCCAACTTGGAGAACCTAACTTCACGCCGGGCAGCTTCTTCAGCAGACTTGAGTTCATCGTTTCCACTTTTCTGTCCATTTGGAAACATGATTTACTCTGTGCTAGAAACAATCTCAATGGACAAACAGGGCTGTTGTAACACCCTTGCAGTACTGCTTTGTTTTTGTGCTGCTGCAAGGTAATTCCTTTAAATCTTGTTTAGGTCATGAAATAATAGGCTTTCCAACCAGTGTGTCTTTTGGGCTGTAGAGGGAGGCCACCTTTGTATTTGTTCCATTTTTCTGAGTTTCGTAGTTTACCTTCCTACCAAGTACAAACGAAATAATTGATGCGACCGTGGCCTGCTCAACCAGAAACAGTCCTTTGCTGTCTTGTAGCAGGGCAGCATACTGGGATGGCACCAACGTGTAGAGTGTAAAGGTTGACCTCACAGTGCTATCCCAAATTGATACAGCTGTTTGTGGCACCTTTGCAGCAAAACTGTAATGTCTGTCAGTACGCCATTTATCTTCTTGGAAATTATGTGTGTTTGCGAGTCAGTTGGTCTGTTTTGCCTCCAAGTGGTTAAGACTTTAAACATCTGAACGCTGCTGTGACAGGCCACAATCATGGGAGGACAAGCAGGAAGAGTGGCTGAAAGGCAGTGCGAGAGTATCGGATCTCTACCAGAAGGACCATGGTGACTTTGGGGATTTGGATGGGATTGGGCTCTGATTTGGATGGAGCTTGAAAAGTAGATCCAAATGCTCTGCCAACCATTGTGTCAAGAGACCTCCCCAAGTCTTTTGGCACGGCTATTTTTGCAGTAGGTTGTTTCATTGGAACAACACTATGGCTGCCCACTGAAAACATTCCGATGAACCAGCTCGATTTGCAAAAAGGCCTTTCGGGGGAGGGAGCATTTTCTGTTGGCTGCTGAAATTTGTCCCAAACAACCCTGCAACACGACAGATTCACCGCGCTCGGTAGTTTCACTTGAACCCTTCAAATCAGATTGTGTATAGTTCAAAAGATTTTAAACGTACGACATGTCGTGTTTGGTCAGATTTTGAGTGTTGTGTCCGGTGCCCGTGGGATTCCCAGGAGCTGGAATTTTATCGCACCGCGGGCCCTGTGGAGTGGGCAGAGACGAACGATGGCTACCAATGGAAATGGCGCCGGCCAGCAAATACTTTCTGGGACGAAAGGTGGGATTCTTATCAAAAAGAAACAAGAAGAGGAATTTGCCGCATGAGTTTGGATTTGCAATGCATCAACTACCTGAAGCCTTCGAGACGTTTGGTCTATTTCCGAACTCGCGAGTTTGCTCTTCAGGCGAAGAGTCTACGTCCAAGAGCAGAAAGGTGTGGATCCAAATCTAAATCTTAAAGGATTGCGGCAACACATGCTGGCCATCTCTAGAATGCGACTCTTGTCCGCCTCAGCTTCTGCAAAAGTTTGGCCGTGATTTGTTGAATGTCTGAATTCTTGGCAAGTGCAAAGGTAGTAGTGCAGCTTTGGGCGCATGACAGATTTGAAACTAGTCTATGGCATCTCTTGACTCTGTTCAAAGCTTCAAGGGCAAGGGGCTAAGAGGTTGCTGCATTTTTCTATAGATCTCCGATTCTTGCGAGGAAGCATGTGCAGTGTGGGTAAAGTGGCCTACTTCCGTGGCGTAGTGGTGGTTGGTGGCCTCAAAAGAGACATTGCAAACGAGATTGCTGAAGACCTGCTGAAGACCTGTGAAAATGACTCCTTTTTTGGAACTTAGAACAGAAAAGATGCTCCGCTAGCTCCAGCAATCAACTTCAGGTTGGCAATGGCAGGGGCGTCTATGGCTTTGGCATAGGTGTCTTGTTAGACTGTGGGATTGTTCTGTAGGCATCGAACATGCAGCTTTGGTGGGTGTGGTGTCCTTCAGCCATTTTTTATTACCACAGAGGTGCCCTGTTGACACCTGTATTGCTTTTGTCACAGAGGTTTCGGGTCCACACCAAAGGAGTGCCGTGCTGATTCGACGTTGAAGGCATTGCAGTAGCCTGGCAAGATCTCAGGAGAACAGTTGGCTTGTTGTTGGCTTGTTGCTCACATTTGGCTAGTAAAAGAAGCATGATTGATATGATTGGAAGAGTAAAAGACAGCATGTGACAAAGTTATTTTGCAAAGTTGTCTTGCTGACCCTTAATGCTCCTGCAAGAGCAGATATTCCTAGGAACTTGGATTACATTGATTACGATCCTGGACGAATGTTTTGCACGCCATGAAGCTTGGTCTGCAGGGCAGAACTTGAGTCTCTCTTGTACCATCTTGAGAGGAGATCTTTCCAAACTCTGTCGAAATCAGATAGCGTATCTAAGACATACCTGGCATACCGCAGCACGTTTTGTCTTTCTTCGGCGTGTGTTTTAGTGGCATGTGCAAGGCAAAGGCCAGGAATACAAGCACACTATGACACTGATCCCACGACCCATTGGACGTGGACTCCAAGCAAATAAAAAGTTTCTCCCGCACCTTGGCAAAGTGAACACTGGGGAAAGAATCTTGGTACATCTTGGCACAAAGGGATGGTATATACATAATTATATGTGCATATATATATATTATATACACAGATTGAATTAGTATTAATAATACCATGATGAAGTATCAGGGTGCCTCCAGGTAACAAGCATCATCACTTGATGCTAAGGACGAAAAGGTCTCCGAGTTTAGACACTGAGTTGAAGCTGGCTAGAGAATTTTAGCCCTTAAACATCCTGAAAACTATTGAAACATATTGAAACATTGTCTTGAAACTGTGTCTCAGGTTATTGTACATACTTGGCTTGGACAACTGCAAGGCCGGAAACTTATCCACGTGTACCGATTGCCCGTGTACACCCTACAATTTCAAACATGACTTCACATTGAGAGCACATCGTGACATGGTGATCTATTTGATAGAAGAGGTGCAGTGATCGGACTGCGGACTCCTGATGACTCCTGTTTGTTCTGTGACGCAGGTGAAATTTATGTTCAAGAAGTGGTTCACGCGGGTGCGGGCCATCAAGCGCTGCCTCGACCAGGCGCATGTGGTTGCCATCGATTTTGTTCTTGGTATGAGTTCGATTGATTCTTGATCGATTCTTGATCGATTCTTGATCGATTTGTGAGTAACTTTTATTTCGCAGATTTCGCAGCAAGACATTCGCTGCAAATCTCCTGGAATGCCTCCACAGCTCCAAGATGGCAGGTAGTTTCGCGTCGAACGCTGGCAAACATGACTGGTAAGCGCTATGCACTTTTGGTTGCTCCTGGAGATCACTGGGTTCACTGGCCAGATCGACGCTCGCCTTCGCACAAATTCTATCGGATTCCCAGTTTTGAATCTTTGAATAATTTTGGGTTAATTTTTGTGAGAAGCGTTCATTCAGGATGGTTCGACGTCACATCTGAACCTTACAAGGCGCTGCTACTGGCTAGGTTTTGGTGCAGGCTTTGTGACATTGCTGTCACACTGTTTTCAAAAGACAAACGATGCTGAAACCTCCGGCACGAGCGAGTTCAGGTCTTTGCCGAAGGGTTCCAGGTTTTTTGTGACTTGTTTTGGATGTGATTTGCTCCCACATGCACTGGCAGGGGCAAGAAGATATGCGGAAGCTGATAAGGAAACATGCACTCCACTTCAAGAAGCGAGGAGCAAAGATCGCAGTCACAGCAGACGTGCGTCCTGGTGCTGTGTCTGCAGGTTGATTGCAAGGATGAGTCCAGGACGAGCACCCCTCTGAAAAATCAGGTACTTTTCAGAAAGAAGAGTTTCTTTCAAACACAGCAGTCAGGTCTGCCAAACCGGCCTTTCAGCCTCATATTCCCAAAGCTTTGAGCCTCAAAACTTTAAACCAGTGTTGGTTTTGAACATTTGCGGATCACGGGGCCAGTTGGTGCTACCAGGGATCTGAGCCCGTCGGTGAGTCAAAGATTGCCACAGCAACGTCCAGAGTGGTTCTGAGGTTGGCGGAAGAGAAACTGGATTCGCTGGAACAATGCTCTGGAGCGGTGGCTGCAGCACCGAAGAAACTCAGATTGTGCGAGACGTGCGGGGTGAGGGGTGTACCTTTGTGTACAGCCAGGTGTCGCAGCGGAAAATGTCTTAGATGTGTGGACTTGGCAAAGACGGGAAAGACCTGGGAATGAAAGTTGTTGCGGGATAGCAATCAGGGACCAGAGTCATGCTGTTCAGCTTTGGCTGAGGAGAGAGCTACGAGCCCGCTGCACCCAAGGCGATTTTTGAAAACCGTTGAGTCTTTTTTTGACGTTGACAACACATATTCGAGATGTCACGAAGCTAGCTTGTGCTAGCTGAAGTTGCTCTTGCTTTAGCAAGGAATAGGGAGGCAGCAGGACCATTCGAAACCCTGAAACTTTCAAGTTAGACCCCTGGCAGGGGTCCCGCCGCGAGCCCCCCCCCGCGAGCCCCCCCCGCGAGCCCCCGACTGGTAGAGGGTCATCGTCCTCAGTTTCATCCTCATCCTCATCCTCATCATCATCACCATCATCTTCATCTTCATCTTCATCTTCATTATATTCATCATCTTCTTCTTCATCATCATCCCATCATCCCATCATCCCATCATCCGCGGCACCCACATCATCATCATCATCATCATCATCATCATCATCATCATCATCGTCATCGTCATCGTCATCGTCATCGTCATCGTCATCATCATCATCATCATCATTATCATCATTATTATTATTATTTATGCATACATACATAAATAAATGCATGCATGCGTGCATCCATGCATACATACATACATGCATACATACATATCTACATAAATAAATACATACATACATACATAAATACTAATACATACGTACCCAGTACGTACATACGTACGTAGGTACATACATACATGCATACATACATACATACGTACGTACGTACATACATACATACATACATACGTACCTACGTACCTACGTACATACGTACATACGTACGTACGTACGTAGATACATACAGACAAGCAGACATACAGACACAGACATACAGACATACATCATACATACATACATACATGCACACAGACACACACACACATACATACATACATACAGACAGACAGACAGACAGACAGACAGACACATACATACATACCTACATACCTACATACCTACATACCTACATACCTACCTACCTACCTACATACCTACATACCTACGTACCTACGTACCTACGTACCTACGTACCTACGTACCTACGTACCTACGTACCTACGTACCTACGTACGTACGTACGTAGATACATACAGACATACAGACATACAGACACACAGACACACAGACACACAGACACACAGACACACAGACACACAGACACACAGACATACAGACATACAGACATACAGACATACAGACATACAGACATACAGACATACAGACATACAGACATACAGACATACAGACATACAGACATACAGACATACAGACATACAGACATACAGACATACAGACATACAGACATACATACATACATACATACATACGTTGCATTGTCTTGAACCTCTTTCGTATGCACTTCCCTTTGAGGGGCGTCTTTGTATTTTTGATCTTGTGTTTCTTTTGCTTACAAAACCTGGCGAGAGACGATTACTGCATTGGGGGGTTTTCGCTTGCTGGACCCCATAGATATTGCAACCCTACAACAGCCCTGCTCATCAGAATCATCATCCTAATTTTTATTCTCATTCTCATCCTCAGCATCCTCAGCATCCTCAGCATCCTCATCATCCTCATCATCCCCATCATCCTCATCATCCCCATCATCGTCATCATCCCCATCATCGTCATCATCGTCATCATCCTCATCATCCTCATCATCCTTTTCGTCCTCATCATCGTCGTCATTAACTCATTCCTGTTACCATCACTTTCGTCATCATCAATTTTCTTCATCATTCTGGTCAGCAACCTCATCAACATCAAAAGATTGGCACTGTTTGTGACTTGCAGCAGCTCCAAAAAACCGCGTGAGACCGTTGCTGCATTCCGACTTCACCTTGCTGTTCCCCCTGTACGATTACCACCCTACCCCAGCAGCCCTGCTAGCTTTCGTACCTCCCCCTGGCCTCAAGTACATCTTAACTTTTTGGCTTGGTTCTTGGCTCCACGTGCCGATTTGCTTTGCAACAAAACTTCTTCTATTCTCACGATACTCGAGCTATTGAGATGACAACAACATTGAACATATTTAATGAATTTGAAAGATTCGGTATCTTTCTCTCTCTCTCTCTCTCTCTAGTGTATTTGTGAGATTTAAGTTGCTGTCCATCAAGAAGCGACTAGTCGCAAATAGCTGTGCATCCAATCTGAGGCAAGTGCTCTGAAGTTGGCAAAGAGCTGAAGCATGGCGCATAGCAAGCTGAACAAGCTTGCACCAACTTGCACCAACTTGCACCAACTTGCACCAGCTTGCACCTTCTCCCTGAGTTCCTCGGTTTAAAACTGATGTTCACAGCTGCTCACTCAATCCTGACCAGTACATACCAGTACTGTAATCAAAAGAATCTGTTTGATAACAAAGGATCGGCTGAAGTTGACACCTCGCGGATGTTGCACTAAGAATTTCGGGTCAAGCGCAAGCTATTCGTTTCGTGATGCGCATTGCAGCGCTTTCCGGTGATACAATTGCCAACCTGGATGAAGCTTTGCTTCGGCAAATCACCTCAGGTGTCGGCCTGGGAACAGCAGTGAAAAAGTTCTTAGAGCCCTTGCTGGGAATTTCGGCTTATCGACTCAAACTGCTTCTTGAAGACGAGGAAGTCTCAAATGCCTTGCCTCTGGACCTGCGATTCGCTGAAGTTGATCTTCAATTGGTAATCTTACCCTACTGCCAGGAACGAGCGCGGGAGCTCTTGGATGCTGCCGAATCTGGAAATTTGTTCGAAGCAAAGCGATTCTTGGAGCTCTCCCAAGACCCTAATGTCAAATGTGGTGACAGCTTGGCACCATTGCATGCTGCTTCTTGCATGGGGCACTTGGACATGGTCCGTTTGCTGGTTGAAGCGCGGGCGGATGCAAACCAAACCGGAGCATATGGAACACCTCTTCTCATTGCTGCTGAACGCGGTAGATTGGATGTCGTGAGATATCTGGTGGAAACTGGTGCCGGCAAAGACGAGCCCAAAGAAGACGGCTCGACACCTCTATTGTGTGCTGCATTTGGCGACCACCTTGAGGTTGTCAAGTTCTTGGTTGAAGCTGGTGCAGACAAAGATCTGCAGAGAGCAGACGGTGCGACTCCATTGCTTTGCGCTGCTGCTTCCGACCATTTGGAAGTAGTTCAATGCCTCGTCCATGCAGGGGCTGACAAGAACCTACAAAGGAAAAACGGTTTCACTCCATTACTATTTGCTGTTTTCAGGAACAATGTTGATGTAGCACGCTTCCTAGTCCAAGCTGGCGCGGACACAAACAAACCAGGAGAAGATGGTGACACCCCTTTACTTTTTGCCTCTGTGGAGGGTCACATGGAACTTGTGCGATTGCTGTTGGAAGCAAGTGCAGATATTGACAAAGCATCCGACAATGGTTCAACCCCTTTGCTGTGTGCAGCAGATGAAGGTCATTCTGAACTGGTGCGCGTGTTTGTTGAAGCTGGGGCAGACAAAGAGGAGGCACGGTGTGATGGGTCCACACCTTTGCTTTGCGCTGCGTCACAAGGTCATGTGGATGTCGTCAAAGTTCTTCTTGATTCTGGTGCAGATACCAACAAGTGTCGCATGGACGGCTCTACGGCCTTGACCTGTGCAGCTGCTGAGGGACATGAAGAGATTGTTCGAGCATTGCTGAAAGCAGGGGCTGACCCAAAGTGGTCTCGAAAGGATGGGTGCATGGCTCAGCAGCTTGCAGAGGATCATGGTCACAGTCAGATTGCAGACATGGTCTTGGAATCACAAAGAGGAAAGGCAAGTGGAACAAGCAGAGGATCTACATCATCTAGCCGCAAGAAGCGAGCAAGATGTGACAAAGATAACAAGCGCGGGTCAGTCTCAAAAAAGTCGAGTCAAATTGGAAAGATAGAGAAAGCAAGGCAGCAACAGTTATGCTCCCGCTTGCAGTGTCAGGTCCCAAACGAAGAGTTTTGATTTGAATTTGGAGCCTTAGATGAATCACGTTTCGGAAGCAATTGACACATGATGAAAGCAAGTTATAGCACATACAGTAGCAACTGTATTTTGGAAGGTTCCCGGCTACTTGAGGGAGAATCACGCTCCTCAGACTGGGGTCTATTCCCGAATGCTTTCTAGTTCTTAACGAAGTCTTAATGCATCTCAGTGCTACCGTAGCTACCATCCTATCCTTGACTTCTACGACTTCTACGACTTCATCTACCACCGGATCCTGGGATTTATATTTCAACACCAGGCAGACGGGCGTGAATCAGTCATGACCTCTGGTAGCCTCTGAGGTAAGGTCTTGCGCTACAAATGTTTCGCTGCTACAAATGTCCAAGTCCTGCCTACAACAAAACTTTTGCACTTTCTCCCTTGAAAAGTAACTGCAAAATCTAAATGTTGTGATACTTTCAGGCAGTACTGTAAGCTCTCCTCACTCATCCCAAGAACAATGACCTCTGTTTTGTTGGGACTTAGGCTTTATTTTAATGCAACTAACTGTGTTGTCTGAGGGTAAAGAACCAGTTAGCTTGGTCCTATTCTTCGAGGGTTGAACCCGAACGAGGTCCAACAACACAACCGCGGGCTGAGAGCACCTGATGAAGCTAGTTGATGTGATCTAGGAAATTTCAACAGTGTATTTCGAGATATTTCGTCCATTTTGTTAGAGCGACTGGATGAGCTTCCGTCAATCGGAGCAGACTCTAGTCAACGCAAGAAAAGGGCCCCTGGATGCCGACTCATGTCTTTGCTTGATATGGAAGACCACCTAAATAGGAGAACTTTGCGAACCAAGTTTCCTGTTCGCATATTTGCCAGGCGAACTAAGTGTTTATTGGAGAACAACATCTGGAGCAGAAAGAGGCTACAGGCAACGTAACACAGACTTTGATTGTACAGTTGAAGGTTGTGCTCCGCAACCAATTTTGGCTTAGCGGACCGCTGTATGGTCCGCCTAAGTTGGCTTCTGGATTCAAGTGTCAGGTGGGACTTTTGTGACAGCACCGTTGCTTTGTGTATTTGTGTTCTTCTTCTCGGCACATGATGCCAAATAGTATAGATCAAGATGATCAAGGAAGATAGTTCATGCATGCTAGTGGCTCTAGTGAACAAGGCTTTTCCAGAATGGACACATATTGAAATGAGATTTGAACGTTGCATTGGAACTGCAGCTGTTTGGGTTGAAGTGTTTTTTTGGTCCGGGGCTCTCAAAAACCTTGCTGATTTGCGATGGGCGTTGCGAAGCGAAGTTTCAGCCCTAGCATGATGACGAGCGTCTATGAGAAAGACTTCTCGGACAGCGAGGAGTCCAGCCTCGAGACGGATAGGCGCGGCAGAGACTCGATTGGGAGGCAAGCAATCTTATTGCACATTGAATGGTTGTTTGGGGTTGTGCAAGTTTGAACTTTTCCTGTGGCAAGCAGTGCTTCGGTGCGGCACAGAATACGAAACACAAGGCAGTGCACCAATACACAACTCGTGTGCAGGATTCCTGCACGTGGAGTTTTTTCTTCTCGAGCACATCAGCTGTGCTGTCAGTTTTTTTGATGTTTTGCAGGTCGACAATCTTGGACAACGGCCAAAACCTGGACTCAGAGGCTTTGATTTGCCTCCCTGGCCAAATTGACATCCGCTGCTATATGCTGCCCACAAAGCCAGTGAAGCCTGTCATGGACCTCGTGGCAGATGAGGAGGCTGCAAGAGCTATGGGCCTTGACTTCGGCTTGGAAGAAATGGAAGACGTGCAACACGTGGAGGACCATTGACATGGAAGATGACGTAAAAGCAAAGGGAGCTGCAACAGACCAAAGGTGTGAATACAATGTGAATACCAATGTGTTTGTGTCATTATCTGTCAACATGTGAAGGTTTTGACATTTGGACAATTTGCACCTTGAGAATCTTTCTGTTTGCCTTGAGGACTTGGAAGATCCTGAGATGGCTGTAGAGCTCCCAGAGAGCAGTTTTTCGGCAGATGAAGAGGCAGCTGTTGCAATGGGTCTGAGCAGTTCCCTTGAGCCAAGCCCAGCTCCATCCAGCCCTAGTGCAGCCGAAGCTCCAGCACTGGCAGAGGTCCCAGATGCTCCAGCAGATACTCCAGCAGATACTCCAGTAAGACCAAAGCGGAAGTCGCAGACTGTGTTGGGTGCAACGCCAGAGAAGAAGGTCAGAGTTGTGGCGCCAAGACAGCAAGTGCAGGACAAGATGGACAAGATGGACAAGTCGGGCACTGCGATCAACGACATTCTTGGTGAGACTGTGCACCGCCCTGCTGAAGTGGGCGAAGTGCTATGAAATGTATATTGAAATGTATCGAAATGCCGCTTTGGAAAGCCTGTAACATAACTTGACAGTGAAAGGGGAACTGTCTGGTTGTGGGGCAATAGAGCATTGTTTCCCTTCCTCAGACTGGACTTGAATGAACAAAAATGTGCAAGAAGATAAGGCCAATTGCAAAGGTTCAGTCCGAGTCTTGTTTTATTCTGGCCTTCACGGCTCGTCAACTCCGGCGTGGTATCATTCTGGGTGAATGTGCCAAAAAAGTTTTCATTGCAGAGTTCGCTGCGAGTGGGTTCTGAAATCAATGACAGCCACGTAAAGCACAGGATAGATTGTTGCTTGTTTCCCACTTCACCACAAGGAGATAATCTTGCCAGTTCGATGGTCTTAAACTGAACGCCAGTTTTGCACTGAGACTCTTCTTTGCGCAGGTTGCGATGGCATTTCTGACGCAGTTGCAGCACCGTGCCTCAGCATGCGTCGCAGATTTCAAACATAGCTAGACCTGGCAAGAAGCAAGAAACAACCAGGCTTTGAAAGTGATCATTGAGATTAAGCTTTTGATGATCTTTGATGTATGAACTCTTTGCCAGAAACGGAAGTCCCTGTCCTGCAGTGGTAGCGACGATTTGGATCCTCCCAGACGTGACAGGAACGTAAATCGTAAAACGAGCCTCGCGCGCGGAGCTACTCAGGGAACCACCTGTGACCAAGTAAAGACACGTTGCGGAACTTCCCGTGGGCTCCTCATGTGCACTGAATGGACTCTCCATCAGGATGGTACTGGATGGTAGCTTGGTAGCTGGTAGCTGCAATGATAGACTTCCCACAGCAATAGGATCATCCGTTTGCGGCAGGATTGAAAGATTCTGCAGAGAATTCCATTATTTACGTTATTTGAAATATATTATATTTGTCTATCGTGTGATCTCGAGAAGTCTCCAGCTGATTCAGTGAAAGTTCGTGGTCCAAGTATCGTGCACCTGCATCTCAGAATAAACCATCATCAGAAGTGATTTGCATTCCTGCTGGGGGTAGTGCCTACAACGTCCCCTTTGCTGCGTTTGCAATTGTGGCTTCAAAAGGTGTACCCCACATTGAATGTCACTTATGTTGAGCCTGTTGGCGTTAGCGCCACCCCACCACCATGCAGAGCATGTTTGCATGTTTGTTTGTTCTTCAATGCAAACTAATGCAAAACCAAGGTCCATATAGCAAGACTCGATAGCCTCAGTACCTATTGTTTGTAGAGTAGCGGTGCTGCATCTCTACTGTGGTTTTTGGGGGCAGGATGCGACAAATACGCTGTGCACTCCATATATTTCCATTTGCTCATTCCAATACGCACGAGTAGTTGTGCATCGAGTAGTTCCGTTTTGAACTGCTCTTGAGGCCTGGAATTAAATGGTCGGCCAAAGTTTGCCACTGTCATGCTTGCAGGACTCTTGTTTTACTGCTAGTGGTACTGACGCAGGAGTGCAACTTCGTATGTAGATACACACATACATAGATGGGTAGATCGATATATGTATATATATATATTTATAATTATATATACCAGTAGTACCGCACAAGGCGGTGGCGGAAGTTTCAAAAATAGGAAACCTATAGGAGAGATTGGCTGCTGTGAATCAGGGATGGCAGAGCGAATCCACTGATGGACCGAAAGGTGCTTGAGGTCTCCTCTCTTTCTCTCTCTTTCTCTGACTATCTACTTACCGACCAGCCTATCTTCTATGTATCTGTCTATCTATCGATCTATCTATATCTCTCTTTCTCTCTTTCATCTCATTACCTATCTACCTATCTACCTATCTACCTATCTACCTATCTATCTATCTATCTATCTGTCTATCTATCTATCTATCTACCTATCTCTCTCCCTCTCTCTTTCATCTGTCTATCTGTCTAGCTGTCTACCTGTCTGTCTATCTATCTGTCTATCTGTCTACCTGTCTATCTGTGGTGCAGTGTCATTCAGTGCAATGTAGTGTAGTGTAAGTGTAGTGTAGTGGAGTGTAGTGGAATGTAGTGTAGTGTAGTGTAATGTAGTGTAGTGTAGTGTAATTTCGTGTAGTGGAGTGTAGTGGAGTGTAGTTGTGTAGTCGTAGTTGTAGTTGTAGTTGTAGTGTAGTGGAGTGTAGTGTAATGTAGTGAAGTGAAGTGGAAGGTAGTGTAGTGTAATGTAGTGTAGTGTAGTGGAGTGTAGTGCAGTGTAATGTGTGTAGTGTAATTAGTGTAGTGGAGTGTAGTGGAGTGTATTGTGGAGTGCAGTTGTTTAGTTGTAGTTTAGTTGTGGTGTAGTGGAGGGTAGTGTAATGAGTGAAGTGTAGTGGAAGTCGTGCAGTGTAGTGTAATGTAGTGTAGTAGTGGTAGTGTAGTGTAGTAGTGTAGTGTGTAATTTAGTGTAGTGGAGTGTAGTGGAGTGTGGTTGTGTAGTTGTAGTTGTAGTGTTGTGTAATGTAGTGTAGTGTAGTGGAGCGTAGTAGTGGAGTGGAGTGTAGTGTAGTGTAGTAGTGTAGTGTAGTGAAGCGAAGCGACATCTGAACCTCCAAAAGTGGTCCGAAGCCCTGGTGTTTTTAACATTTTGACTTCGAAATGTGCTTCGCGCCACAACGGCGTGCACTTTTTCGACATCTGAACCTCCAAAAGTGGCGCGAACATGTGGTGTTTTGTACATTTTGACTTCGAAATGTGCTTCGCGCCAGAACGGCGTGCACTTTTTCGACATCTGAACCTCCAAAAGTGGCGCGAAGCTTGTGTGTTTTGTGCATTTTGACTTGGAAATGTGCTTCCCGCCACAACGGCGTGCACTTTTTCGACATCTCAACTTCCAAAAGTGGTCCAAACCCCTGGTGTTTTTAACATTTTGACTTCGAAATGTGCTTCGCGCCACAACGGCGTGCAACTTTTCATCTCTCATCTCCCCAGATGTCTCCGCACCCGCCGCTTTAGCGAGCCTACTTTTCAACCCTCCGGAGCCACAAAGCCACGAAAAAACACAGTGTTTCGCGACTTTCCTACCTTTTCGCGCACCTGCATCTTCTTTCTTCTGATCTTTTCTCTTCTGACTCTTCTCCCTGCTGACTGCTTTTTCATCTCTCCATATTGTCGGAAGTTTGACTTCCAAACTTCCTTCGATAATAGAAGATTGGATTGGGTTAGATCAGATTTAGATTAGATTCGATAGATAGAAAGGTAGGTAGCTAGGTAGATAGGTATATAGATAGATGACATTAGATAGGTAGGTTGGTAGGCAGGCAGGTAAGTAGATAGGTACAGCCGTACAGACATGAAGATGCATAGACAGGCAGACGGACATCCATAGGTTGGTGCTTAGGCAAGGACATGCTTGGTCGTACGTTTGCCGTACCTGTCCATGAAATATCAATATCCATTCAGGTGAGTCACAGTGCGGTGCGGGATCAAGAGAGTCGACTTGATGCAAATGCACGAAACCGTGGCACTGGATCAGTTGCAGTGGAAGAAACTATAGTCATAGTCATCAGAGTCCCTAAATCGATGAAGTGCTTCAAGACTCCAGAAATGTTGAGCTGTGAGGATCTCAAGACTGGACCTCCAGCATCCAAGCACTGCCAAAGAAACAAGGCAAGTTACGCATTTTGGTATCACCAGCGATCACACAAAAGCATATAAAAACAAAGTTGAATCATCAACCTTTCTTTCAAACTTGCATGGCCTCTGAAGTTGAAATGTAGTTGCAGTTGTTGTGCTGGACAAAAATTGATCACACTTTTTCTCATTCCTTAGCAGCTGTTCATTAACATTAATGCCACTCGTTGTTCCTGGCGTCCAGGGTAGTCACCCAACAGTTCTACGCGCACCACCTAGGAGGCCAACGGGAAATTTCGTGAAAAGAAGGGGCTTGGACTCATGGTTCGTGATGGGTTCGTGATGGTTGGTGCTCGTTGCAAATTCAGTCAGGTCTTTTGTAGGCGTCGAGGAGGAACATATTTGCCTATTTGCCATGCTAAGGCTTGTTTGATTTTTTTATGAAAAGAAATAAACTTGATAGATTGCAGGAATAGAGAGAGAGAGAGAGAGAACTAGAGTAAGTAGATGTAAGTAGATGTAAGTAGAATTGTTTTCTTGAGGCAAATAGCCATTTCTGGCTCAAGATAGCCTGGGCATTTGAGCAAGGCACCTCGACGCAATGAGCAGCTTGGCAACCATAATGAGAATCCCCAAGAGAGTTTTTGAAACTTCATCCAACCACTTATAGTTATTAAGTTCTGCGATAGGGGAAGTCAAATCCCTGGGAGGAAAGTGTCAGCTGTGTCAGCTCCAAGTAGATAATTGTTGAGTATTTGGTCAAGTTGCCCAGCTGAGGTGATTTGGGGCTTTTCAGAGTAGTGGGTGGTGCTGATAGAGGCTTGGCGACAGCAATTTGGATCAACTTGCCCAAACAATTCTATCAATATCTATCAATACTCCCCTGGAAACAATATCCTTCCGAATTCTTCCGGTTCTCCTTACCTCAGGCGGCATCATCGTCCGTTCAGAACGCGAGCTTGGCTCTGATGCCGTAGCCCGCCTCTCTGCTGGTGCATTGGCCTCGACCTTGGAAAGTTGATGGTGTGGTTTGCATGTGCCAAGTATGCAGAGCACATCAGATTGCAGATTTGTGTTTTGTGTTGGAAGAGTTCAAATTATTTGGCACTATTTGGCTTTGCTCTTTTGCAATTGACCTTGACGAGTCTTTTGTGCTGTTCTGCCTTTTCAGCAACTGTTCGTTGCGGTTTGCTGCTGTTTGTTGCTGTTTCTTCCTGTTTCTTGCTGTTTGTTGCTGTTTGTTTATTTGAGTTTTTTGGTGTCTCTTGAAGTCTCTTGAGGTTAAGGGCTTGGAGTGCCATGAGGGCCGCCTCTTGTATGAGCTTGTCCAGGGCGATGGCCCTTCCAAGGCGACAAACATGTAGCATGGGAGAGGAGCAGTGGGCTGTGGACAAAGATAGGATAGGATGCTTTGGGGCCAATTTGGGGCCGTTGTTTTTTCTCCGTCTTCGCTGGACCCAACAATCCACTGTCCTGAACTAGATTTGCCGCAGCCGGTAAATATCTCAACACAGAGCAAGGCACAATCACACAATCTGCAAGAGGCTGCACCTTGTGAGTCAGCAGTACACATAATAGATCTGACAGGGTGACAACTTATCCACGAGATAAACGCACCTCTACTTTCACAAGTAGCATGACCACAACACACAGATTCCAGCCAAGCCCGTTAGCACTATCTTCGGATGTTGCAGTGTTGAAACAAAAAGCAATAATATGGAGAGTATATTGTCACTATCATTGTAGATTTCAAAGTAATATTTCTTTGTAAGTGAACAAATTCACTTGTATCGAGGCTTGCTTGCACCCTGCAGATGTGAGGGCAAAAACAGAACTGCAAAAACAATGACGTATTATGATGTATTGTAATACATGATGTATTGTAATACATGATGTATTGTGATACATTTGTTTCAGACATAGAAATCGGTTTGAGCCATGGCAAGCTCAGATGGGTTTCTGATGCGTGCTGCCCGGCTGCCGCGCTTGGCGAGTGATGCGGGACGTGCTTCCGCGCTTGGCTCCGAGCTGCTGAAAGAGGCAGTGGAGCTGCTGCCGCAACACGTGGAGCGATCCACGGAGATCGCCATGGCCGTTGGCCGCGTGGGCAGTTTGGCCGAGCCCACGTTGGTGAAGCGATTTGCCGAGGCTTATCAGCAGCTATTGAGCAAAAGACTCCCTGAAAGTCAAAGCTTTTCCAAGGCACAAGCCAGGGAGGCCAGGCGCTGGAAAGACCTGGTGAGAGTTCTGCAATGTTCTATATACATACTCGGAAAATCTGTGAACATAATTTAACTTAACTACAGACAGGTTCAGGTTTTTTTTTGAAGCTTTAGTTTAGCACAAAGCCCAAAAAGTCTACAAAGTCAGCTGACTAAAAGCCAACCTTCCCTGAGGCACTGGCTGCATATGTGGCCATTGAAGGCCTTGGCTGTGGAGCAGCATCTTAGCTGGCTTCGCAAGCCTCCACTGCTGCCGAACTGCTTGAAGGACATGAGTTGGCAGCAGCACTTGCGCGACTCGCTGCCACCAGAAGTTCAGCTCCACTAAGCCAAATAAGAGATCTGAATGCCAGTGCTGAAGATGTAGCAGTAGCACTGCAGAAAGGCCTCTTGAAGAAAGGCAAGTGCTTGAGTGCATTAAGTGCCCAAGATCTATGCAATGCTGTCGTGGGTTTAGCGCGCTCGCCATTGATCGTGCCGGATGCTGTGGCAGCCATTGCAACTGCAGCCCGAGGTCGGTGTTCTGAGTTGCGATTTCGATCCTTGCTGGACTTCTCTCGTGCTGTTGGAGAGCTCATGGCAGCCATCAATGGGCATCAGAGACAGCAAGTGGCTGATTGCTTGGCTGAGACCTTTCCCATTCTTGCGTCCGAAGTGCAGAGGAGCTTCCAAGATGGTGAGCCTGACAAAGTGGGCCTCTGTCTATCTGGATTAGTTCGGATAGCTGCAACTTTACCAGCTGAGGGCTCAGAGGCTGCCAGTTTTGTAAGGGAAGTCATATCTCCATCAGCAGAAAATATACTCTTGGTATGCCAAGATGATGGTTTAGAGTTCTTCGAAGTTGCAGCACCCTTACTGCAACTAGAGGGTGGAGAAGCTTGGACAAAGCTGCTCCAGTACTTAGCCCTGGAAGGTTTGCAAAAGCTTCCAGATAGTCAGGAGTCAATTTCGCGCTTGGTTTCCATCTTGGAGTGGGCAGCATCAAAGGATGGACACATTTCGTGCCCGCCCTTTTTCGACTTCGCTGTCCAGGAACTGAGCCAACGAATGGGCGGGGCACTTGCAACACCTGCAGACGTCAGAAAAGCTGCGAAGCTTCTGATGTTTGTTCACCTGGAACGTCCAGATTTGTTGCCTGCCAGTGCAGCTGCTATCGCCAAAACATCATTGATGGTACAACCAACAGATTTACCTGAAGTGGCGCTCTCCTTATCCGCGATGGCAGGGCTTTATCTTCGGATTGCGTCATTGGGAACTTCAACGGCTGATGTCCAGAAGCACAAGGCAAATGAGAGCAATGACGACACAGCCGTACTGGCAGGAAGTCTTGAAGTTCTGTCCCAAACAGCTCAAGGTCTTTTGGGTCCAACGAACTCACAAAGCGATGCCGCCTTCTTAGCGCTGTCAGCTTTTGCACAAGCTTGTCGCCATGGCAATGATTCAGATCCAGTTCGTCGAAGAGTGGTCCTGTCTGGGGTACAGCTTCTGGATGCATTGTGCCAGGCTTGGACCACCGCTTGGAATGAAAAGCCGGAACTGCTCTCGCTACAACAGGCACATATCTTTGTGACCTGCGTACGCACCTTTTGCATCGGCAAAGGAGCACCAGCACCGCCTCCTTCCACTTTGCAGGTTTTGGATGTGGTGCTTCAAAGTATCACTGCTGCAAACCACAAAGATGCTCGTCTTTGTCTCGCCGTGTTGCAGGAGATCCATGGAGACCCGATCTGTCCGCCACTTCTGAAGTCTTTGTTGGAAGCGCAAGGGGTGAAGGGAGAGAAAGGAGGAGAGGGAGCAGAAGGAGGGCTCCGACAGACAGATCAGCAGCCTGGTGCTCGGGAGCGATTGAGAGCTTCCATGGCATCAGGCAGTGTGGCGTCGCAAAGTCCTCAGGGAGGGTTTCTACGCCGGATCTTTGGATTTTGAGCGGAAAATAGCAATGATGCAATGAATGCCAGAAGGAACTTTATGGATCTTTATTAGACGTTAAGTGCAGCGTGTTCCATTATACAAGTGTCTTCGTTTTCCTCTGTTGATCCCCTTAGCTGTGGCTCACCTCTTTGGCCAGGGCTGGGTCACCATGAACCTCAGGGGCAAGGATCTCTTGGTGAAGGCCAGCACAGTTACATCTGAGGACAGCCTATGCAGGGGCATCACAGATCTTCCAAGTCAGGGGAACAAATGAGAACCATTCAAAAGCAGCACATAGGAAAGTTGCGGCAATCGTTTTAAGGGAGCAATACTGTTTTGCAAAAGCGCAGTATGGACCCCTGAAATAATACGGGGGATAGCCTTACCAGCCTTGAAGAATTCTCCACAGATGCTGAGTGCTTGAGGAGTCTACGGCCGAAGGCAGCACAGACAGCGACCCTGACAGCCCAAAGGCCCTGGTTGAGGCATGCGCCACATTCTCTCATGTCACATGATGTGCTCTCACGTGCTCTAAAACAGTGCCGCCGATTACCAGCTGTCCTTGCACAATCCTTTCGGTGTGTTTGTTCGTTTTTGCTGTGGCTGGAGAAGAATAATCAAACCGACTAGCCCTACACCACAGAGCTTCTCAAGCTGAGAGAATCAATGCAGGAAGATATAAAGATTATAAAGTATGATGCAAAAATTGTGCCTCTAATATTGCCCAGGCTGAAGCCACACAAGATGAGAAGGGCGAGAAGATCAGTCCTGATGTGACTTGTTGAGAGATCTTGAGTTGAGAGATTACTTTATTCGTAAAACATGTAAAGAATTTATAGAAATTAATCAACGACAGGGGCCCTTTTTGTGAGGGCTGGGTTAAGCCCTTCCTTCTGAGGAGCGAGAAGCACTCCATCGATATGAATCCAAGTTCAACGAAGTGCGAGATGGGATTCATGCAGGCTACAATCGAAAGTCTTTCCCATGGGCTTTGCCTCAGAAGGCGCTGCTTAAGTTTGACATTCTGACACGACATGTCTAGGACAAATGTCTAGATATGTCTATATATAGATATCGATAGATATCTATAGATATAGACATGTCTACAGATATGTCTAGGTCTAGATAGATATTTCTATATACTGTAGATCTTCTTAGATGTGTCTATCTCTGTTCAACACTCTCCTCTACTCCCTTCCACTTTCTTCTACTTTAAGCACACTTGTCCAGATAGAAACATGACAACTGTCCAGATTGAACGATGAGCTGGTATCAGTGCCAATGCGTGCCAGCTATGTTCTGTTTCCAATGCACTAACCATTTTTTGTTTTTGCGCGTTTCAGAATATGGCAGCATGCTCTTTGGAGTGCGACTCCCAAACCAGTTTTTTGGAGAGGTTGTCGTTTGCTATTTTGACGGCACACCCGGATCCGGTCGTGCGTTATAAGACCATTTTACATTGCTGCTCATGTCGTGTATGATGGATATTACGCTCCTGTCTTTTGCATTTTCATCTTCGGCTGCGTGAAATCACATTTACCCAAAGTTGAAGCATGCACACCAAGCACTTGGACAGGCATCCATGCACCCTGAAGTCTGCCAGCTGTTTCGCTAGGTCAAAGAAACATCTGAGGATGTTATAAAAGCCGCAGAGGCTCGAGCTGGCTAGGGGGATTGTACTCCAAGCGAGACTGAACCTCAATGGCATAAGGTTTGGTCGTGTTTCTATCTTTTAGATTCTGGGCAAGGAACGGAGCAGGAATGATGACAACATGTTCCAACCATCCACTAGTGATTGATCAAAGATTCTTGAAGCTGAAGCAATAACAAGGCCTCCTTTGTTGCTGATATCATTTTTCCAGACAGTCTCTTAGTAAGAGCTTCGCCTCAAGCTTGATGACAGTCAAAGTCTTGCTGACACTTGCCGATAGCATTTGCTGACACCATTTGCCGATCAAGAGTCAGATTCCAGGGGACCAGATCAATAGCTGTCCCCCTGTCGCCATGTTGGCAAGCCTTCGCTGTCGTCCACCAGGTTGTGGACGCGCCCGAAGGGAGGGTTCTATTGAAGAGTTGGACATTGAGAGAGATGTCGGGGCAACAGTCTACCCATCTGACCTGTCGGCCAAAGACAGACCTTCCATGACTTGTGGCCTTGGACCTGTCTGTCGATTCTCTGCACCATCCTTTGGTGAAGAACTGCTGAATCCTGGGGACACGGTGCCGTACCAAGCAACCAATTCAGCATCCCTTCAGCCAAAGATAGCCCACCCAACTTTTGCAGCATCTGCAACTCCCTACATTGAATTGGAAGGAGAAGAGTCTCTAGAGTCTCCAGGGCATGAAGCTGAGAAGCTCGTGCAAGATTTGGCTCACGTCAAACAAAGCGTAGGTTATCTTAACAAATTAGTGACCTTGCTTACAATCGTAGCTCTTCTTTCAACCACTGGCTTGCTGACACTCCTCTACAGCAACCTTAGCCTGCCCAACCAGATCCTGGCCAAGAGATATGCGCTTCTTGCGACAATCCCCATTGTTGCATTGCTTTTCACCTGGTTTCATATTTGGTTGGCGATCCAAATGATGTTTTTGCCTGTTGAGTTCTTTGGGCTCTGGCAATATCAATCATCTGGCATGGGCATTGGATGGCAAGGCCTGGTGCCAAGAAAGTGTGAGAAAATGGCTCGAATGTCCTACAAATGCGCCAGACCCTTCTTAGAGGGACCTCGAGACTGGCTCAGCCGAGTAGACCCCAAGAGGCTGGTGAGCGAAGTGAGATCCGAGCTTCGAGTTGTCATTGACAATGCGATGGCACATGTGCTTAAAAAGTGGCTTCCTCACAATCAAGGCAGTTTTTTTTTGACTTGTTCTTTTGTCCCTTAGTGTTCTATTCTACACTGGCGATATCCTCGTCTTCTTCTTCTTCTTCTTCCTCTTCTTCTTCATATTTTCTTCCTTGGTCCTGAAAACCGCACATTATCATTATATAGTATTTGTATGTACTATTATGTACTACTATACGGGTCCTTGCTTGTACGTGTCAGGTACTTACCACGAACTGATAACAGAATGCCCTCCTCCATACGAACGAGTATGACAGAACAGGCATTGGATAAGATTCAAGAAACAGCACCCGAGCTGTGGAAAAACTTCACGAATCTCTTGTGCAACGATGAATTTGGCATTGACAATGACGGGATGATCGTCAAAGTCTTCACGGAGAACAAGGAATTGCTCAATTTTTGACTCTTGGAGATCGAGAATTCCGGTTCATCGAGCATTGCGGTGCCGCCATGGGTTTTGTTTGTGGACTTCTGCAACTCCTAGCTTTTAATCATCTCAGCAGCTCAGGCCGTGCCGTGTTTTTGCCAGTTACAGGCTTTTTGCTTGGCATAGTGACCAATTGGCTGGCAATTTTGATGGTCTTCAAACCATGCTTCCCGAAGCCAATTAAGATCTTCGGCTGGCACATTTGCGATATCCAAGGGCTTTTCTTGAAGAGACAGCCAGAGGTTTGCGTGCTTTACTCCAAGATGTTGAAGGACAACTTTTTGTCCTTCAGCAAGATCATCAGTTATCTCCAGACACTCCCAGGTCTTTGGGAACGACTGAAGGTAGCCTACATGGAGCACAGTGCAAAGGTGCTGAGTCAGACATTAGGTTCGCGTACGACGTGGCTAGCTGAGTGGACCATTGGCCAGCAAGGCTATCGGGATCTTGAGGAAGATCTCAAGGTTGCCCTTGTGGAAGGCAAGGCAGTTGAAACGTGTCCCGTATGACATGTCAAGACATGTCTTATATGTCTTGACAGCCCTGGAAAACATCAGCAAGATAGTCGTTTCATGTTGTTTCCAACATAATTTGTTCCAAGTCAAGTTGCTTTTCACGAGTTTCAAAATACGTCCTACAGCGTCATACGTTCAATACACCTCATTTGACCACCAGCTGTGCAAGGCCTCTACAAAGCGCATCGCTTGCACGCGCTTTCTTCTCAATACATCTCCAAGGTCACAGACATTGAAGCTCGAAACAGAGAATGCCTACAGAGGATGCCTCCCGATGAGTTTGAGAACCTTCTACATCCGGTTTTCCAAGAAGACGAGTGGATCCTTATCCTGCTTGGTGGAGTCCTGGGAGCAATTGTGGGCGTGGCACAGGTCTACTTCCTCTCAGAATAAATCTTGGCCAGTTGCATTGATGCATAATGTTATCATAATGATGCATAAAAGCGGAGGTATTGGCATTTGTTCCACAGTTCAATAGATCTGCCAAAGGCAGCTTGGACTTCGGCCCATTGTAGAAAAACGATCCTCCGGCTGAGGCATGACTGGAGCCAAAGCCATAATTAATTGAGTATCATGTGAATCATGTTTGCAGGATTGAATCATATTATCACATTGAACCATTTTGAATCATATTGAATCATATTGAATGACTGAAAGATCATGCCCCTGGTGGCCTTACAGATTCTGTGTCCAAAATGTCCCAGTTCTTTCAGATCTTTCACAGCAGGCCTTCAAGGAAAAGCGCCAGAGAAAAACACGCTATTGGGACGTGGATTCCGATGGTGAGGAGGTAGGAGTGACCGAAGGGATACGCCAGGGGTGGAAGCGCGCGACGGTGACATGGATAATGTTGCTGGATGGGTCTCAAGATTTGACTCATATCCAGATATATGTACAGTATGTACATGTAATTCCACTGGATAACATGTGTACATTGTGTTTTGTTGAGTTTTTGTGACTGCGGTTCAGTTCTCAAGGTGACCACTCCCCAACACTCCACGCAGAATCTCGGCCAGCAGGTTACTCTGTGCCCCCGATGCTTCATGCCACTTGGAGAGTCTGCCTATGAGGGAAAGCAGAAGAGCACCTTTGTGCATCCTGAGTGCATGGCGCAGGCAGGTTGGAATTTCTTGTTGCTATACCGACTGTACAAATCATTTGTCACAGGCGGCAAAACAAGAGGTAACAAAAGGTGTCATGTTGTGGTGGCCGGGAGGTGACACGGGGGCATTTCATTCCTGTGGGGTTGAGTGTTGATCAGGTTATGATTGAGGAAATGCAGGAGCAGGAGGCTGAGTTCCTCAAGGAGCAGAAGGAAAAAAAATTGAAGAATCGATGCTGGACTGAAGAACCGGTAGATATCAGTAGAGGCTTTCATAATCTTTCCCTTTCAGCCTGTTTGACCACAACGACTTCGAATTGCATGCAACTCACACGGAAATGACTGGCCAGCAGACTTGCATTGGCCACTCTCTAAGGACAAGAGCACGATATCGGATGGTGCCCATCCACAGTTCCCAGCAATTCCTCATTGGCGGAGCGGTTTGGACTGAAAGCGAATGGCCTCACCTGCCTCGTCTGGGATGAGGTACCAAGTTCGTGGAATACCAAAGTGACTAGTGCAAGTAGTAAGCACTGCTTCAATCTTTCATGCTTGAGCGCTGTTCAGGCCACCCGGAACGTCAAAGTTGCTGCCACATTGGAGCCATCAGCAGCGGTAAACCTCGAGTACTTGGCACTGGCTTTGAAGGCGATCCATGTCTTTTCTGGGCCTTGACAGATTGATATTTGATAAACTCAGATGTAAGCTGGGTATAGCTGGGTAGGATTATCAGCATTGGAACTACTTGTGCTGGATGACCAGGATCGCTGTAACAAAACAGCTGGATTTTTCAGAAACCTACACTGACAGTGATAGAATCATTCTGAATTGTTAAGATTTTCTAGGATTTGCGTGTTGCGTTGAAGAACACTGACAAGTGATTGCCAGGTACGTCGCCAGGAGAGACGGGAGCCGCTCTTCTCTTTGGACCCGGTGGATCCGCAGAACATGGAAACGACTACGCAGAAGAAGCGTACCGAAGTTGCAATACACCAGCCGGATTGAGGAAACGAGAGAACAGCATAGAACAGCCCAAATTTATATCCAAAAATGGTTTTGTTCAAACTGTACAGTGTCAATCCATGCAGAATCTTGGATGAAGCTGCGTAGCGCCACGATGGGTAGTATGATATTGACACCAGCGGAGCTGCTGACTCCAATCGCTTTCTGGGCCATGTCATTCTTCCAACATCCTTTCAGGCTATGAGCCTCAGTGGCTGGCCGGCACCAGTGTCGGGGACGTCATGTTCCAGGCGAGCCTTGAGATATCTTGAGACGACGCCCATTGACAGATTGAAATGCAGCCCGACTCCTGATGCTGCTAGCTGGTAGCTACCAGCTACTAGCGCCTGGTCCAGGCTGACTACTTCTTGAAGGAGTTGGCCTTAGGCGAGTATACCATGCCAGTGGTTGGTATGCTCAGTGTCTTTGACTGGTCAGAGGCCAGGGTTGCCTTTCAAGTCTTTTGGGCTCTCCGCTGTTTCATTGGATTCAGTTGTCCAAGACAGAGTTGCTTTTGATCTGCGGCATTCATTTGAGGGTTTGATTGACACTGACTGGCACATTTTGCCGACGTGATAGATCTGCGTTGATTTGTGCTGCGTTGCAAAATGGCTTTCAGGCCTTAGAGCTGCATCACCAACCATGGGCTGGCCGTGAATGGTTTGTAGTGAAAAAGGCTCAGGCCGGATGCAGCAAAAGCGTAATCCTTGCAAAGTAACTCAGCAAAAGCGTAGACTGTTGATGACTGTTGATCTTAGTGATCTTAGTGTTTGGCCTTCCAGGGAGTGGTGGCAGCTCCTTTTGACAATTACCCCTGGCAACCTTGGCAAGCTCATTTGTTTCACGACATTTGGATGGCGAGGTCCAGATGGCGGAGGACAAGACTCTGATTCCCCTCGTGAAGATGGGGGTCGAGGCATGTGATAGTCTACCGCAAATGGCTTGCCATTGGATTGTACGTCGATGTTGATCTAGGATAGTACAGTGCTCGCTAGTGAATCTGAACAATCTGGCTGAGAGCAATGAAACCACGGCAGAGCCAGGCCAGAGAGCAGATCCTGACGGCCAACGGCCTCCAGGTGGCTCACAGTGTATCACAGTTCTGGACATAAAAATGCTGTGTAGATATTCGATGGTCGCATACCCATAGGTTTGCAAACTGCCAATAAACAGAATGTGCCACAGACTGGCTTGACTGGCTCGCATTTCATGAACCGCACTCTACAGCACTGGAATTATTTTGGGGCTGAGCTACACAGTGAGTTCTTGGCCAACCTATCCAATTCTTTTCGCAAGAGAGGATCCATATCCCACCTTTCAATCCGAAAGGCTGCTCTAGATGAAACTGACTTTACGTAGATTGAGAATTATGCTTTCATGTCCCAAATCAGCAAATGCCAAAGAGTATGCTGAACGGGATAAATTTACTGACTATATTTGTCTGTGAATCAAATCAGCCCTCCAGCTCTTTCAGGATACTGCAATCACAAGTGCCAGCCATCCTCTTCGGCGTTTTGCGGATGTCATTCGGCAGACATAGCGTTGCTTTCTTGATCGGAAAACAATACAACTGGTTGAAGTGAAGACTAAGAACTAAATCTGCTCTTGACTGTATTACCCATAAGATCAGTTTCAGGCTTGTCTTTGAGGCCTTCACTCGAAACTTTGACCTCATTGCTGAGCGGAAGAGTGTAATCTTCCACTTGCGTGAGCTTGCAAAGGCCTGGCCTGGTGAGTTATCAGGTAATGCAAAACGAACTGAGTGAAACAACAAGATGTTTGATCTGCAGATCATGATGACAAGAACAAATGGAAAACAATGCGGATATGGAGTACCAGTGACAGGGGTGGTGATTACGCAGGGACAACCTTGATAGCATCATGCAGCGTCTCGAACAGTGATTTTGATGGCGCCAAGCTAGGCCTCCGTGATGGCAAAATTCCTGGTGGACTCCGGCGCATGCTTGGATGAGCTGTGGCAAACTGTTGCAGAGGACAGGAATGTAGAAGGGTCAGCGTGGACTCCTGTGTTTGCTGCTGCAATTCCAAGTTTTTTCATGTTTTTTTCCAGGCTTTCTGTTCTTAGATCAGAACCAACGCAGCTCGGATTGACCCAAGAGCCATCTCCTGTTTGGTGTTGGATATGCGAGCCCAGGAGATCGTGACAAACACCACCCCGGAGGAACACTCGGAGATTCCACAACTCTGGAACATGCGTGGCCTTTCTCGAATCCGACTCGAGAATGGCAAGATTATTGACAATGAGACAGGCCTTGACGTTTTCACCCCATTTTTCACCCCAAGTTTTTCCATGAATCTTAATGATATGGTTTTTGAGCAGCAGCTTCCAGCAGTTTGCAGCATGTCCTGTATAGTTTCGCATCGTTTTGTACCGACCGGCACTTGGGCTGTCTCTGATACAGGCAGTGTCAGCAACCTGCATGCGATCTATGGCGGCGTTGAATTTGGCTTGGATCGGTTCGAGCTAGCACAGCGCCATGCACCCTGGCCAGAACCAGTCAAATGTATATAATCTTGCAATATCTTGCATTTGGATTGTCAAAGACTCCATAATCCGGAGCGAAGGGAATTTCATTGTAGTTCAATTTCAGTATTACGATCCTGCATCCATAGTGCAAAAAGAGTCTGATGATTCCTGTCCCCACTTCCTGTTTTCTGTCTAAAGATAGCGATTGAGGGTATTTGTCTGTTTGTATCTCGTCTGGACTGCGCAGATTTTGATTTTGAAGCCGGCCGGATTGATTCAGTAGGCAATGAAGAAGAGAGATAAGAGAGAGAAGAAAGTAGTTGTTTCCGATGAAGCTGAGCATCATCGTATACCACACTCATTTGTTTGTTCTTAATTGAGTCAAGCCTCGTCAAATCATCGTCATCCCAGGCCTTGCGACCGGGCGTCCCAGGTGTTCCTGGAATGGCCATGCAACAAGCCGGGCTTCAAGGCGCTTCATTCTATCTCTTCCTCTATGATATATATTAATATATATATATATGTTTGGCTTCAACTTGTTGTGGCCTTTGTTTGTTGGGAGTAGTGAGCTTGCGAACGTACCGCCTGTAACAAAAAAAAGAAAAATCTGATGAACTGAAAACCAACTGACGGTGTTGGTGAGCCTGGCGGTGTTTTCAGCTCAGCTTTCAGAGTCAAGCAAATATAGCTGATCCTCCTGTGAAGAGTTGAAGATGTTAAACATGTTCAAATTGTTCAAGCTATTTTAAGATGTGTGGAAGTGCGGTGAAATCTGCTGAAACTTCCGTAGTTGGACGCCTTTTCCATTCCGCACTTGTGCGGCGGCAGATGCTCCTGGCTGAATGCTGGAAACCAACTGAAGTTTCCAAACAACTTCTGTTTATTATCATGTTGTGACATTTACATCTGTCACTGTTGTTTAAAGGATGATCTTTACTTCTCACTTTTTATTTAGATCAGATTGATGTCAGTCTTCTCACCTTTTGCTCTGTTGCGAACATTTTGATTTTATGTTCCGCGCAATTTTGGCTAGGGTGTGGAGGGTGGGTTGCACTTGACCCGTTCGATTTTTCTATCCCCTCCCAAACTTCGTTTTCCCTCCCTTATCTTGTGGGGGGGTGACAGGCGACATGACTTGTTGACCTGAAACAGTTACCAGACACTTGACTTGTGTTTGTGCGGTTTCACCCCCGACTCAATTAAGATAAGCAAAGACAAAAAGAAATATTAAATACATGTCCGACCTTCGAGCGATTTGCGTGGCGTTTTGAGTTTTACGTTTGTTTGAATAAGAAATTTAATTTACAAAGGGACGAGCACAAACATAACATTATATCACCATGATTCACCATGCATGTAACACCAGGGATTACTAGGGCATCATGTGAGCATGTCAGACGACATCAGACCTTTCAATCGCATGAGACCACCAGAACCCATGCTATGCTGCTGTGCTGGCAGGTATGCAGCTTGGACCCTCCGGTCGGCCGATGTTCATGCCACAGCGATTCCAGCTTACACAGCGTGGGGAGATGCCTCAGGGTGCCTCAGAGGGAGGGGAAGGTCTCAGATTTGCTCCGCAATGTAGCTTGAAAAGGCCGGCCTAGAGGCCTGAAACAAGGTAACCGGCGGCATTAGAGAAACTGCACCAGGATGCATGTTGAAATTTTGACCAGAAAGCCCAAAAAGCTATCTAGTTTTGAATGAGTCACTAAGTCCCTTCAGATTTGACTATGGGTCAATCAAACCTTGATCAGAGTGTTCATAAATCAATCTGTTCAACAGAATGCGTGCTGTGCTGTCTGAGGAACGTCGAACGTTCGGAGTTTTGAATCGCCTGTTGCAGGATATCATTCATGTATTGTTGAGCGCCAGACCACTTGAATATCTTCAGCCAGTTGCAGCCGTCAACAAAGAAATCTTAAGTTGTCCTCGAAGTGTCCCAGAGTCCCAGGTGTTGACTTGGATCTGGATAAGTTCAACTTGTCGGATGTGGATCACATGGGCAGCTGGGCTGCCTGCAGCGGCGGGGCAGAGTCCTTGGAGGCTCGTGTGCAACTTGGCAAGGTGTCTCGGCAGAACCAACAATCTGGAAAATCTCTAAAGCAAAACTTAAGTGGCAGAATGAGAAAGGAAGAGCGTTTCAATTTGGTCAAAAGATTAGCAAACTGTCCATTGTCCATTCATTGCGCAATATTGCGAATCTTTGCCTTATGTTCTGATGCTTTCAATAACAACTAAAGTTTCCAGAAGCACCCTTTGCTATGTGGACAGGCATTCCTGAAAGGCCTGAGAGAAGGGTATCAGACGATCAAGGATGAAGACAAGGACCCTTTCTCACAACTTGTTTGGCATTTGCGTTGCAATTTGCCTTTGCCAAACAGCTTCAGTTTTGCGAAGACACCAGCACTGCACCACACTCTGATCACACAAAATGAAAGCGTTTCAAGGAGTTGCTGGAAGGCATCTTCAACGCAGCCCTGGCGGACCGTACACAGGAAGGCGATCGCTTCATCCCGCCAAATCCCAACACGTCATACATTGTCAAGCTGCGGAATCTTGTGAACGAGGAGATTGGGAGAAATCTAACGAGGTTTGGCCGATGTTTCTCTTTTTTCAAGCAATTCAGAGCTGATTTTGCGAGTTGTAATTCGTTGCTCGATAGTGATAAAAGCGTAATTTGTTGATCGAAAGTGATAAAAGCTTCCATGTCATTACACTCCACACCTTCCATTGGACTTGCTCAGTCTTGTTTTCGGTTCACTACAAAGCTGAGACAATCTGGGCTGCAGGAGAAATCACTCCTGAAAAAGAGGAAGTTGGCGTTTTGCGACCGCTCCTTCTTGCCTTCTCATGCTGGGCCAGAATTCCCTCGCTCGTGGACTTCTGGTTTCAAGCTTGAGAATGGATTCTCACCTGCTGTACTGATGAAATTGAAATCATCCATGGTGCAGTTGCAGGTTGATGCGAACTTTGAGCAAACTCTATTCAGCGATGTGTTGCCATCTGCAGCACCAGAATTCCAAAAGAGCACAGAAGATGGGACTGTCTTCCGCATCTATCGCTTGGGAAGTCTGGAAGTTCGCACCATCCAAGAGCCTGAGGGAAACGAACAGATTGGAGTTGTGTTTTCCTCTCGGGCACCCACTTGGGACTTGGCTTCTGGTAAGTCCAGGCCTGGCAAACCAATCCGTGATGACGAGAAGATTGTGCGGGGTTCCATCTATGTGGAGGCCATTGATGTCGAGACATCTCGACGTTTGGATCAGAAATGGTCAAGCAAACGTTTAGATTATTGTCATCACTATGTGGTTTTGGAGACGGAAGAGCAGAACGTCATTGTGACAGAGAAACTTCCCGATGGCAGCACCATGATGGTGGTGAATCCAGAGGGCGTGGAGGATCGCAACTCTCTGGCCAAACTCATGGCCACAGCAGAGGATTGCAAAGACATGGACGTTGCAGTTGGCAAGGTGTGGCTTTAAGTTGGATGATAATTAATGATATTGAAGTTTATATATATATATATACGTATGTTTAAATTGACTGCCTTTGTTTCTAAGGGTCAAGTTCCGAGATCGAATAGCAAGACACAAGAGTGCTACTTGTGAATACTTGTGAACAGAGTATTGGTACTAAAGTTGTTGGAATCGTTTTGTGTGCTGTGTGCGACAGCTTGGACAAGCGCAAGCTTGATGCGGAAGGCAGTTAGAGTCACAGATTTGGAAGCCGTGCAGGTGAAGCTGCTTCAAATCAACCATCATCGAAAGGACCCCGAAGGTGCAAGTCCGTCGTTGCGCAAACGCTATGCCAAGGCGGTCTTTTGCATGTTGCGGCGCCAGGCCCGGTGCATTTGGAGTCTTCACAGACTTCACACATCTTCACATCTTTGCACTGGTCTTCAAGCTCGATGTATGTAAGCTATTTGTAGTTGTAGTGCAACATCTGCCACACCTCAGGGCTTTGGGAAACAAAGAAGTTTATTGTTTGGCTGCATTGTTCTCTCTTAGCTTTTCTTGGGTTGCTGTCTCGTTCGATCCTCTGGGATTGTGGTGGACTTCTTGTCAGGTGCGCAAAACAAAGGGCCTGGACCGGCGGCCGTATACCTCGCGCAAGCAGGTAGTTGACAAGGAGAAGTCAAAGTGATTTACACAATCTGGCGAAGCTTAAATTTGGCGTCGACGGTGCAAGACTAGAGCAGGATTAGAGCAGCTGGGGTCCAGCGAACATCAGCGAACTGTTGTGTTACTAATTAGCACATATCGGAATCGCACAGAAACAAGTAGGCACAGAAATTTAGATCGGAGTCTTCTAGCTGGGACCCCAAGGTCCAAAATGCGAGCGCAACGGATGTACCTTTCTTCCGGTTCCACCAGATTGCATGCACGCAGTTTCATGATGAGGGGCTTTGACGGTTTCATCTTAGAGTCAAATCGACGCTATCAGGGGAAGCTGTGACAGCAAGCCTTCCAGATACCAAATGACTAGTGGTCAAAGCCCAAAGATGTTGATATGAGCATGCAGATGGCTGACAGAAAAAAAGAAGTGTTGCCTGTTGGACCATGAATAATAAGAAGCAATACTGTAACTACTGCAACAGTCGACAGGCCACAAAAGTGATGCAGATGCATCATGATACAAGATGTACAGTACCATACTTGCGTACTATGACGGACCAACAGTTAGAATATAAAACCTTAAGATTTGCTTAGCTGAGCTAAGCCGCTCTTCGGGGTATAGGGTTTTCGGAGCTAAGCCGAAAACCTTGGTCTTAGAATATGGGCCCATGCACTTAGAATATGGCCACTGATGTCAGAAGAACCGATATCATGTTCGTCGCGCCGCAAAGATCATGCTCCGGACTTCAATGAAGCAAGACCAAATGATGCGTTTACCTGTATTCTAACTGCAGGAAATGACCACAGGTGTTGCAAGAATGTGATACAATCACATTTGGTTGATTCAATTGCTGGAGACAACATTTACTTCCAGATACTGTACTGTACCATACTTCAAGACATGTAATCTCACAAATGGAAATTGACTTTGTTATTGTGTCTCTATATTGTGTCGGCGTATTCTAACTGCAGAAAAACCACACAGGAGTTGTAAGAATACGGTACTGCAAAAGATACAACACAGTAGTCACATTTTATTGATTGGGGTGCTTTTGAAGTCCTTGACTTCAAGCATGGTGAAAATTGCATTGCGCAAGTTGTTTGCTGGTATTTTATTTTGTGCGGTTGTGTGGTGCTGCTGGTGTTGGTTGCGAAGTGAGTGAAGGGAAAAAACCATCCAAACCTATCCATATTCTAACTGCACTTTTCACCACCAGAATTCACAAAGAAAACAAACAAGTTTTACCGTACCAACCGACCTCGGGAAAACTTTGGCCAACATAATCTGCTGTATGTGTATCTTTCAGCATGTTGGAAAACAGGACAGAAATCATGCAAGAACAAACATGGTGAAAATTGCGTTGCGCAAGTTGTTTGCTGGTATTTTGTGCGGTTGTGTGGTACTGCTTGTTGGTTACGAAGTGAGCGATGAAAAAAAAACATCCAAACCTATCCATATTCTAACTGCACTTTTCACCACCAGAATTCACAAAGAAAACAAACAAATTTTACCGTACCAACCAACCTCGGGAAAACTTTGGCCAACATAATCCACTGCATGTGTTTCTTTCAGCATAATGGAAAACAGAACAGAACCCATGCAAGAACAAGCATGGTGAAAATTGCATTGCGCAAGTTGTTTGCTGGTATTTGTGCGGTTGTGTGGTGATGCTGGTGTTGGTTGCGAAGTGAGTGAGGGAAAAAACCCATCCAAATCTATCCATATTCTAACTGCACTTTTCACCACCAGAATTCACAAAGAAAACAAACAAATTTTACCATACCAACCAACCTTATTGAAAACTTTGGCCAACACAATCTACTGTATGTGTCTCTTTCAGCATGGAAAACAGGAGAGAAACTATGCAAGAACAAGCATGGTGAAAATTGCATTGCGCAAGTTGTTTGCTGGTATTTTGTGCGGTTGTGTGGTGCTGCTGGTGTTGGTTGCGAAGCGAGTGAGGGAAAAAAACATCCAAACCTATCCATATTCTAACTGCACTTTTCACCACCAGAATTCACAAAGAAAACAAACAAGTTTTACCGTACCAACCGACCTCGGGAAAACTTTGGCCAACACAATCTACTGTATGTGTATCTTTCAGCATGTTGGAAAACAGGACAGAAATCATGCAAGAACAAATAGAATGGGCTAGCGCCCGGGTGCCGCCGACCCCCCCTATTTGGGGGGTCCTGCAGAGAGAGGGAGAGAGATAGATAGATGGATGGATGGATGGATGGATAGATAGGTAGAGAGATAGAGAGAGAGAGAGAGATAGACAGATAGATAGATAGACAGTTGGATAGACAGATAAGTAGATGGAGAGATAGATGGATAGATAGCTGGATGGATAGATAGATAGATGGATAGATAGATAGAGAGGGAGAGATAGATAGAGGGGGAGAGAAAGATAGAGAGGGAGAGATAGATAGATAGAGAGGGAGAGATAGATACTCCGACGGCATCCGACGGCATCAGCGGTTCAGTGGGTCAGTGGCGCGTCGCTTCCGGCGGGCCGTGCTGAGGTCGATGGTGGTACATGGTGGGACAGACATGGACATATATGTTTTGATATGCCCCAACATGCCGCAATTCAATCACAAGGTGCAATGTGTATGCAATGAGTATGACGCTACAAATTTGAAGTCAGACCTCAGTTCATATTTTTAAGCATATTTGGCCTCCTATCATTGTATGATTGGTGGTAGAGTATCATTGATTTTGAAACTCAGGGATAATCAAAGGTACTGATCTCCGGAAGCTGCTGAGCTTGCCGCGCCAGGGCCACGAGTTGTGGCGCCTCATCATCGCCTTTTGCGGGCTGGCAAACGGCAGGCTTGAACCACCATAAAAGGACAATGCCGGGGCTGGCAAACGGCATGGGAGCTGCAGGGAAGCATTTGGGGGGTTTTGCGGGCGGGCAAACGGCAGGCTTGAACCACCATAAAAGGACAATGCCGGGGCTGGCAAACGGCATGGGAGCTGCAGGGAAGCATTTGGGGGGTTTTGCGGGCTGGCAGACGGCAGGCTTGAACCACCATAAAAGGACAATGCCGGGGCTGGCAAACGGCATGGGAGCTGCAGGGAAGCATTTGGGGGGGTTTGCGGGCGGGCAGACGGCAGGCTTGAACCACCATAAAAGGACAATGCCGGGGCTGGCAAACGGCATGGGAGCTGCAGGGAAGCATTTGGGGGGTTTAGGCTTGAACCACCATAAAAGGACAATGCCGGAGCTGGCAAACGGCATGGGAGCTGCAGGGAAGCATTTGGGGGGTTTTGCGGGTTGTTGTTGTAACTGCAGGCGACTTGGCGCAAGCCTGTGACACTCATGTGCCAGTGAACGAAGAAGACACGAAGAAAGGCAAGTGGTCAGTGCACCGCAGCCTCATCGTTGATGCCATAGAACGGGCGCAGAAGCATTGGAACACGCTTCCGTGTGACGCCTGTCCGTTACCAAACCCATGCCAAGGCTTGGACAGCAAGAGCCTCCTAAAAAGTGTGCGATGCAAGGCACGCCCGGTCAGCTGTGAGAAAGACAGTTGCGTGCGGGAGCCCGAGGTGCAGCAAGAAATTGTCAATATAACAGCAGTTAAAAACCATGTGGAAGAATGGGCCGGGGGCCTCGCGCAAGACGGATGCAATGCCAAACAAGCAGAAGTTTGTAGAAAAGTTGCAAGCCAAGTCGTGCAGGAGATCTTGTCTGAAAACCCTGGGGTGCTAGAGCCATTGCGGTGGGCTGTGCATGGCGGACCCGGTACAGGGAAATCGTATGTATTGAATCGTCTCCGGAAAGAATTGTTTGAGGATATTTTGGGCTGGAAGCAAGGTGATGAATTCCAAGTCGTGACACTGCAGGCTGTTATGGCCAATGACTTGAAGGGCGACACTATCCACCACGCGTTTGGTTTGAACTGGCAAGGCCTTGGCGATGAGCGCATTAGCGGGCACAAGCTCCTGGAGCTGAGCGCCAAAGCGTTGCGCTGGCGATGGCTCATCATGAAATCAGCATGGTTAGCGCTGAGCTCTTGGCCCGGTTAGAGTTGCGTTGCCGAGAGTTGGTCCGGGATCTCGCCCAAGGCAAGTATGCAAAGGATGCGGCATATGCTCGTCCCTTTGGAGGGTTAAACGTTATTCTGGCAGGTGATATGTGGCAGCTGCCACCGCCACGTGGAACCTTTTTGGGAGATGTCCCATGGGAATGGTTGACGCAATGCAAAACGAAGAAGGTAGCCCATACCATCCGTGGGCAGGAGTTAGTCTGGGGCGAAACCCCGGACGGCATCCATGGCGTGACAGAACTGGTCGAGTGCGAGCGTACCCAAGATATATGGTTGCAGAGTCTACAAAACGAAGTACGAAACGGCGCGTTGTCCGAGACGAACCACGCATTTTTGCATGGCTGTCCCACGCCGGTACCTGGCAGCTGGAACGGGCACAGACTAGAGTGCAACCACGCCACGTGCCAAAAGTTACTGAGAGAAAAAGCAGCGCCAGAAGCAATCCTTCGCTTGGAATGTGACATATGCAAAAAGGAGTGCCAGTCCAAGGCTAGAGTTGCAGACGGTTCCATCGCGGCCGCTGCGAAGTTCGCTGGGGCAAAGGCTATTTTCGCCACAAATGCCGTGAAGTATCACGTGAATAAACTGCGAGCCAAAGTTTGGGCCGCAGAAACAGGGCAGGTGCTGCACCATGCCATTGCAAAAGACAGGATATCAAGCGCGGCTTTGCGCGAAAAGCCAGATCTGGGCAAAGAAAAATTGACATGGCTGCAGCGCCACGATCAGGACTGTGGGTCCTTGTATGGTGTTTTCCCTCTGTGCATTGGTATGCCAGTTGCTGCCGCAGATCACTTGGATCGTAGGCGTGGAATTTTACGTGGGTGTGCTGGGGAAATCGTTGGCTGGGTCTGGCATGCGGATGCCGTCGGAGGGGCGAGGCAAGAGGCGACGCAGATTTGGAACGAGTTGCCGGCGTGCATCTTGGTCCGGTTCAAGACCAAGACCACCTGGCGTGTCGAAGGGATTGAT